CCAGGACAGATAGATGCCTTGAAACTCAGGTTCCATATTAGGATTGTAAAGTGCAAAAGTACTGAACATTTATTATGTTATGATATGAGCCAGGACAGATAGATGCCTTGAAACTCAGGTTCCATATTAGGATTGTAAAGTGCAAAAGTACTGAACATTTATTATGTTATGATATGAGCCAGGTCTGATAGATGCCTTGAAACTCAGGTTCCATATTAGGATTGTAAAGTGCAAAAGGACTGAACATTTATTATGTTATGATATGAGCCAGGTCTGATAGATGCCTTGAAACTCAGGTTCCATATTAGGATTGTAAAGTGCAAAAGGACTGAACATTTATTATGTTATGTCGTCTCCAAAGCAAGCGGAACAAGCTGCTACGACTCTACAAAACGACTCAAGTACGCAATGATCGCCTTCCCAAGATCGAATCAATGATAGGTAACCTACAACAAGAATTGGCTGATATTCAAGCTTTACGCTCCGGCATCAAATGGCGTGAACACGGGGAGAAATCCGCTGGTTTCCTCAAGCGTCTTACATCCCAGCGATCCCAACAACGAGCCATCCCCACTCTTCAACACCCCATCTCCTCCTCCGATTGTGCGACTACAAAGGACAAACAGGCAGCTGCGGTAGCTTACTACGAACGGCTCTACACTGCGGATATAGTGGACACCGAAGCGATTCGCTACTTTACTAATCAGATTCCTCATACTGACAAAATTCTAGATTCAGACCACCCGTCATTATGTGCTCCATTTACCCTCGATGAATTAGTCGAAGCCGGTACTCGGGCCCCTAAACAATCTAGTCCTGGCATTGACTCCCTACCATATGCCATAATACAATTGCTTTTCACCCACCCACTCACCGCTGCCATTGCTCTCCGTGTTTATTCTGACGCCTTGTCAAACGGCGTATTCCCGCAATCGTGGCAAGAAACTTGTCTGGTCTTGCTCCCTAAGAAAGGTGATCTTGCCTTGTTGCAGAACTGGCGTCCCATTAGTCTTATCTGTTGTGATGCCAAAATCTTCACTCGGCTGTTGAATGCTCGGCTCATGCTCCACTTTGGCACACGATTGACCACCTCACAATCCGGCTTCATGCCCCATCGCTTTATTGGCGAACCAGCCATGACCCTACATTGCGCTCTGTCCCTCGCCACTGCCACCCATTCTACGTCAATCGCCTTGTTGTTAGATCAAGAAAAAGCATATGACCGTGTCAACTTGGAGTACCTCACCGCTGTACTCACAGCTTTTAACATGCCATCTTCTCTAATCTCATCACTGCTTTCTTTGTTTACTAACACGCAGGTACGGGTCAACATCAACGGATTTCTCTCTGAAGCATTTCCAACCCAACGTGGTATGAGACAGGGTGACCCTATCAGTCCTTTGCTTTTCAATATCATCTTCGACCCCTTCCTCCGTGCCATCAACCAACATCAAAACATACTTGGGTTTGACTTTACACGCATTGCAGCCACTAATCCTCGTTTTTCCTCCCCTCTCGCTGACAATGTTCCTCTCGCAGATCCAGTCAAAGTCCTGGCATATGCCGATGACACACTAGTTTTCCTCAACGATCTTAGTGAATTCCACCAACTTCAACAGTTGATAAATAAGTATGCCGCCGCGTCCAATGCCTCTCTCAACTATCACAAGACGCAAGCATTGTCTCTCTCTGGTGTACCGCACGAATCCTGGATTCTCGGCCTTCGCGCGTCTGGTATCTCGTCTTGGCATGACCAGAATGCTACCGCTCCCATCATCTATCTCGGATACCCTATTTGTTCATCTACCGCTCAAAAGAACTCATATTTCGATGCTCTTCTCACTCGTCTCCGGGACTTTTGTCGCCTTCATTCGGTACGCAACCTTACCTTTCGAGGACGGGTTACTGTTCTCAATTCACTCTTGTTCTCTAAAGTGTGGCATATTGCACGCTTGTTTCCTTTTTCGGCTAACGATATTCACAAGCTACAACAGCTGGGCGCCTCGTTCGTTAACCAAAATGCCAAACTAACTCGATTCTCTTTCGCTACTCTCTGCCTCCCTCGTTCTCATGGCGGCCTTGGTCTTTTGGATCCTGCTGTGCAGATCAACGCCCTTCAGTGGCGCTGGCTTCATCCACTTTTGCACCCATCCGATCCCACTCCTCCTACCAAGACTTCTCTTCCTTATCTCCGTGTCATCCTCAACTTCTTCCTCGCTACTCCCTCATACCCCACCTACCACTGGTCTCTCCTCTTTCCTGCCTGTAGGCCATCAAGCGCCAGAAAGGTCATCGCTCCTCTCTACAACATTCTTCGCGCCGTAGATACCATTGTTCGTAAGTTTGGTGTCTGTCATGTTTCCTTCAGTACTTGTCTACGCCTGCCATTTTCGACCTTGGTTGAACATAACCTTCCACCCAACCATAGCTTATCGCCTACATTTCGCTCACCAAAGGAAGTGGTAAAACACTACCCCAGAGTGCTTCAACTTACAGGTAATGATGTTTTCATCTTTGATACCACCACTCAAGCTCTTCAACTTCGCACTTCGGTCATTGGCCTACCCCACCAACCCACCAGCTTACGCGCTATCAATTTTCTTCAGGCTCAAAACCTACTGCTCACCAACTTCATTCACTTCAACATGTTGCTCCTTGTCCCTCGTCCAAACATCACACATATCGACCTCTCCACCATCACCAACTATTCCGATAGTATCAGCCTCGTATCCACCCTTCTACTCTCTTTATTGGCAACTTCATTTTCTTTTGAGTCTCATTCATTCCTTTTATCCCTCCCTACTAATCAAGGATTCAAATCCCTCCCCCTTCACACTAACCCTTCCTCTTATTCGTCCCCTTTAGGTGTTGCCAAATGGAAGCAGTTTTGGACTCTCCAGATTCCTTTGAATGCTCGCAATACTTGGTTCCGGATCCTTCATGAAAAAGTTACTACTCGTCAATTATTACATCAACGGCTTCGCGATTCATTTACCCCGTACTGTCCTCACTGTCAGTCTTCGTCATCCACAATCCCCACCATCATCGAAGATACTGAGCACTTCCTCTTTTCCTGTCCTCGAAAATTGGACGTCTGGCGACAAACTCTCTCTCTTTACATCTCACCTCGATTCTCTTACTTTGCGTACGAGGAATACATTGCCATCCTCCACCTTCGCCTCGATATTGACCGCTCATCTCATGAACTTTTTCCTGCATTATCCGTGTTCCAGGTCTTTGCTTGCATCCAACAGGCTATCTGGTCTGCTCATTACCGCCAAGTTTTCCAGCACGTCCCTTTCATCCCGTCTACTGTCATCCACTCCATTCATCGTACTCTCCTCAATTTAGACTCCCAACTTTCCTTCGATACAATTATCTGAGCTTCCCCTTATATCCTCCAGTCTTTATATCCCCTCCCTCTATATTAGGTGACGATTTAAGGACTTTAAATAAAAACAGAAGTGCCTACTTCCTTATAAAAAAACATTTATTATGTTATGATATGAGCCAGGTCTGATAGATGCCTTGAAACTCAGGTTCCATATTAGGATTGTAAAGTGCAAAAGGACTGAACATTTATTATGTTATGATATGAGCCAGGTCTGATAGATGCCTTGAAACTCAGGTTCCATATTAGGATTGTAAAGTGCAAAAGGACTGAACATTTATTATGTTATGATGATATGAGCCAGGTCTGATAGATGCCTTGAAACTCAGGTTCCATATTAGGATTGTAAAGTGCAAAAGGACTGAACATTTATTATGTTATGATATGAGCCAGGTCTGATAGATGCCTTGAAACTCAGGTTCCATATTAGGATTGTAAAGTGCAAAAGGACTGAACATTTATTATGTTATGATATTGACTCAAAATGTTTGTAACGGCTCAAAGCAACCCTTAACACTTTGTTTGTGAAACCTACCTATGTAAAATCTCGACATTTTCGCCAAAAACCTCATTTCATACTTTCTCACTTTGCTCAAGAAGATCATTCAAACCACTACTTTTGCTTGGTACCACTGGATGCGCCTTGAAAAGTACTCCAAGAATGCATTAGAAAGCAAGGGATGGTTATGGCGACTTACATAACGAAAACTTGCGAAATAAGTCGAAATGTGCTCGAAATGATCGAGAATCAACAAATCAGGAGATTAATGACTGGCTGAGATTAAAGTATTTTTGGCGGCTGCTGCTTGCTGCCAGAATCAACAAAATGTTGGAGCAATCAATGTTTGTAGAGCTGATAGCAAGGGAACTACAAGCCAAAAAATGCCTTTTCTTAGAATTGCTGCTCTATAGTGCCTTGATGATCGTTTACAAAGTCGTTAGATTCAATCGCTTTGAAACACTCCTCCAGACGCGAATTTTGAACCGAAATGCAAGCAGGCCAAGATGTATGTAATGCTTAGAATATGGAGCATTAACTGTGGCATCTGAGTAGCAACTTCAATGGGCAAAGGTATTATACAGTATACTTTGCAGCGAAAAGAACAATCTCGTCATCGTTGACCTGAACAAGCTTGGTAAATACTTCCACAGCGTAATACTTGGAAAGCGGTTTCTGGACATTGCACAATGCGAGGACTGGTGTCAAGTTGGATACATTTGAATTGAAATGTGTATAAGACGCCCTAAAGACAGCACCAACTTGCGCTAAATTAAACGAATGCATTGGGAGAGCATCACATGAATGGATCTACCATGTCCTTTCAGGTAGCAACAGTAATCCCATCAAAAAGCTGCCAAGATAATATAATATCAACACAACGACATCAAATAGGAGCTGCACTTGCAATGCTTGCCCTTTGATTTGCGTATAGTAAAATGCCTCAATCTTAAACTATATTGTGTGCCTTGCAACACATTTATTGTTTGTTTCTATAGGCGACTCCGCTAATAAAAAAGATGGAAATAATAATTACCTGTTTATCCTTCCTCCTTTTCTCTCTCTCTCTCTCTCTCTCACACTCTTTCCTTTTCGCTACATATAAAATAGATGACACTATTTTCAAAGTTTACGAAAAGTGGAGGAAATAACGAGAAATCCATCTATCCTTGGTCACAGCGTAAATTGAGTGGCAGTCATCATGCTTTGCCGAGATTTGGACACAGTGCCACTGCCCTTGACAATCAACACATTCTTATTTATGGTGGCATGCACAAGGGAAATACAAAGAAGAACATGTTCATCATTGACACAAGTAAATGGAAAAGAGAGCGCGACGCATACCATGCCATAGTAATCGCTTTTCATCAACGTAGACAGCATATCTGCCAGCTCGTTAGCAACATCGGGTGATGTGCCGTCTCTGAGAAGCTTCACCACAATTTCTTCAATGGGCTCCTTTGTATTACGTAAGGATGAACAATGAGCAACAGCTTCAACATGTCATGATATTCACTGTTTTTATTCTAGTTTATGGTGGCGAGCCCATTCACGGCAGCGAGATTTGGGATCCTTACTTTTACGTCTTGCATACAAGTAGATGTTGACATGTATGACACTTTTTTTTGACAGCGCTAATGCTGATTTTCTAGACACTCGTCAATGGTCAAGAGTACGTACAAAAGGTAGATTGCCATCGGAAAGAGCAGGACACTCCACATGTGTTTCTGATGATGGCATCATGTATATCTTTGGCGGTCATTTTCAGCGAAAGTACCTGAATGACTTGTGTGCGTTCAATGTGAAAGAGTGTAAGTTTTGCTGAATTACTCATTCTCACCATGCTGATTCACACATATTGAGCAGATCCTGCCAAGGCAGAATGGGAATTTATTCGAGTTGAAAATCAAGGGCCAACACCCAGATCCGGACACATTTCTGTGATTTACGACAAGAAATTATACATGTGAGCAGCCTTCCCATTTCAATTCGACGCACGAGTAAAAAAGAGAAAAAAGAAAAGAAAAAAAAAACTCATCACAAACGAATAGATTCGGTGGCATCAATGCGAGCCATTTATACAACGATATTTGGTACTTTGATCTCGTTACTCATGTTTGGCATCAGATATCAGCTGTAGGCTATATACCCGCACCAAGAGAAAGCTGTGCAGCTGCATTAGTCGATGATACGATATACGTTTTTGGAGGAAGAGGACTAAATGGATGTGGTTTAGGCGACTTATGCGCGTTTAGAATCAAGAGTGAGTGAAACTGGTAGAAAAAGGAAATCGATATCGTTCTAATGAGGTCAAACAAGGTCAGAGATGGTACATGTTTCAAAGCATGGGCGCACCTCCTTCGCCTCGCTATGGGCTTTCAATGACAGTGATACACAACAAAATCTACGTTTTTGGTGGTGATTCAGTTACTGGAAAAACGGATGATAGTGCCCATGTGTATACATTGGATTGCTGCAAGTGTTTATATGGGATTGTTGGACTGAATGTGATTATTTATATATATATATATTTATATAGCCAAGATAAAATATCCTCCCGAGCCAGAAGCCTCAGAAAGCGAAAATAGTAATGCGGATCGTGTTCAGACGAGTACAATGCGTAATAACAACACGAATGCACCAAAAGCACAAATCCAACCTGCACACATGGAGCAAGAATTCAACATACCTCAGCCTCAATTCGATGCAAAGCACATGGACTATCAGGCCCTCGATGAGCAAGATCAGAAAATCAATCTACCATTAACAGCCAACTCGTTAGAGGGTAATCTGAGCACATCCAGACAGCTGCTTGCCGCAGATCTGCATTATGCAAGCCCACCCACTTCACCAACATTGCCTCCACCACGACCGCCTCGAGAAGGGATCTCTCTCAACGAAGCCTATCGACAGGCGCCATCAACAGTGCATGATGCATATAAATTCAAAAGAGAATCCTCGATTCCACCTCGCTCTCAGATACCACCCAAACCATATATGCCTGCCATGAATGAATCGACGACAACAGCTATGAATCCCGACGAGAAAGCCAAACTACTATTGGAAATCAAAGCACGAGATACGATCATTTCAGAGATGAAGAAAAAGGAGCAATGGTGGCGAACCGAAGTCTCTGTGGCTAGACATTTGCGCGCAAAGCAGAGAGACGCATCTGATGACAACCTAGACAACCATGACGATCAAGACATGGCATTACTCAACCTCGATCAACACGATAAATTGATGCTATTTCAACAACTTGTCACTGTCAAGGCCGAGATTAGAAAAGTTAGATACAGTATAAATAAACAAAATGATCCAATACTTGAAAAGATAGAGCAAGTGGAGAACGTAAGAGCAATTGCACTAGAAGAAGCAGCCTACTATAAAGCAAAATACGCCGCACTCAAGACAAGAAACAAGGAAGCACTGGATCTGCTGGAATCAGATCGAGTCGACATATTAGAAAAGCGACTACTGTATGCGTATGAAGAAAAAGACACCATTGAACGAAGCCTGCAAAAGATGAACTCACAGTCAAAGCACGATCAATCCGCAAGGCTGCTGGCAGAAGATAGAGCGCGAGACGCACAGAAACAATCCGAAGAGGCCCAAGAAGCGCATCAAAATGCATTGGAAGAGCTGACACTGCTGTACGAGCAAATCATCAAACTTGAAGCGCAAGGAAGAGATGATGCTATCCAGATAGCCGACCTGTCCAGCAAATTAGCAGATCAGCTCTCTCTCAAGAACACGACCCATCAAGACAATTCACAGTGGCATATGGAAATAGGCAGATTGGAAGCAATCAATATCAAGTTGAGAAACGAGATTGCAGTGCTGTTGAAGCGATTGGAGGAAAGCAAGGACGATGAAAACAACCTAAAGATGCTGCTGAACGACAAGGATCAAGCATACGCCGAAGCTGTGCTTGAGCTAGAAAAGACATGCATCGAGCTTGATTTGCTTAAAGGCTTGCCAAATGGTAGTAATAGTAGTAATAGTAGTTGACCATTGTAAAATAAAGTGAACAGGCATTCAGGTGTATTGCCTGGTATCATTTGAACTAAACCAGCTATAAAGGCTCGTGTTTTCATATAGCATTATTTGCTGTTGAGAGCAATGTAGTTTAACAAAAGCATCTTCATATAAGATACTGTGAAGCATTCAAAAATAGACAAGCCATATCCTTTCAAAATTTTAAAAAATTGTGTACCGTACAAGGTGAATAAACCCACCAGCAAAGCCGGCAATGGGAAGGGGGTTTGGGGGAAGAACATAACGCATCTAATTCAACATTTGGTAACACTGACCTATAAGAGGGTTTTACCATAGCGAAGCGAAGGTGCAAAACCATAGTATTCAAGCAGCAAATTCGGGTTTTCCTTCCATTGTTAATAAGCTTACCAGCAACATAGGGCATCAAAATTTGCATGAATTAGCTTTACAAAATCAGTATACCTTTATTCGAATTAGAGATTACACAGGCTGCAGAACTACCCTTCCAGTAAATTACAGCTACCAAAGATGAGCTTCATGCCATGTACATAAAAGCTATAAAGCAAAACATAACCCAATTGGACAGCTTTCAAGCCTTCATATCTCGACATGTAGACCTCCCTGAGTTGCCAAAATAACGCTAAACAATTGTACTTGAGTAGTAGTAACTTCCTGATACATTTGCTCAACTTTTTAAGCCAAAAAAAAATGGCCAAAAATCAGCCAAAAAATCATGAAGGGCACCTCATGTTTTCATCGAAAATTAAACGATCGCATTTTTCACCTTGAAAATGAAGACTTTTACTATGGTATGTATTAAATCAAAATGTTTCCCTCGATTCAATGCAACCTCTGAAACCACTTTTCTGAGACTTTCATATGCAAAATATAGCTATTTTCGTTAAAAACCTCATTTCAAATTTTATTAAATTGCTCAATAATTTCAGTCAAAGTATTTATTATAATCAGCACCATTACAAGCGCCTTGAAAAGTACTTCAAGAATGTATTAGGGAGCGTAGGGTGATCATCACAATTTATGTAGTCGAATATCATAGAATAGTTTAAAGAAGTCGAAAAAAAAAATGCTGCGTTTGAATTGTTTTTTGGTGGCGGCTTACTGCTGGCTGACCTAAATGCCTTTCTGTTGATGACAATGATGATGACAATGATGATGACAAGGATGATGACAAGGGTGATTACGATGCTGACCAGATGGGGATCATGGCGTTGAAAGGACAGTTGCTTACCCCGAATACTTTTTTTTTGGGGAGGTTTGCCTCATGAAGGTGTCTTTTGCAATGGCAATATCTCAAAAAAAAAGTTGCTGTAGATCTTACACAAGTTCTGTATTTACTTATGGTCAGTTTTATGTCACAGAGCATCAGCAGCAGTGAATGATATGACAATTCTATTATCAGAAAATGGCGATTGTGATGTACAAATGCTACATAAAACTTGAATTTTCTTTCACATCGTCTCAATAATAGGCTTCGTTTGATATCAGTGCAAGCAAAAAGGATGCTGAGGGAGATACCTCCTCTCTTCCTCCTGGTGGCTCTAATATAATCTTTCTTTTACTTGCAGTAATTTGTTCAAAATCTACTTGATATACCAAAATTTTATTATATCTGATTTAAAATGTCTTTGGTGATGAGAGCCCACAGGACGACACCGACACTGAGCGTACCGAGTTAGATCGGTTAGTGGTTTTTGTACTATTCATGCATCATTGGCTACACCTTCTTCTCTACCACGTCACCTTGAACGGTTGTGAGTGCAGTTGTTTATAAACTATCGCGTCTTTTTTCCCTCTGTCTCCCTTCTTTTTCCTTATTACTACTAAAATGTCAAACAATTCTGGTATTCCTGATGAGTTGTATTATCTAAGTAAGTATGCTTTATACAGTCGTAGAACTAGTATCCAACAACCACCTACAATAGATGAAGATTTCTCTATTCGTTCGCTTCGAAAGTACCAGCTCAAAGAGATTCTAACAGCTCACAATATTCCTTATATGCACGGCATTACGAGGCCTGACTTGATCAGTCTATTCAAAAAGAACATTCTATCTCGCCGCGATGAGATCTTGAGAGAGCACAAAAAAACTGAAAAGCCGGAAGAAAAGATAGACAACCACGAGGAGAAGGCATTGGGACGTGGACGTAGAACTTCACAAAAGCCGGACAACTTCTATCAAGATAAATTGTCTTTGACCAAGCGTCGCCAGAGACGAACCGAAGAGACCGTCAAAGCAGCTGCAAGAAAGGATAAGGACGGTTACGCTATTCCAGCACTTCCTAGCAGTAGAAAAAAGACAGTTCCAGCATTCAATCCCGAGGACTCTTTCGACGACGAAGAAGAGAATCATTTTACTCCTTTACCCTCCTTTTCAATGGAGCAACTCAAACCACACAAGGTTGTTAGCAATGCCAGCAGTAGCAGCAGCAACATACCTACTGTTGAATCCAACAGAGCACCAGCAGCAACACAAAGAACTACAAGACGAACCAAATTTGATCCTCCCAGCTTCAACCCGGAAGACTCATTTGCTTCATCGGACGACGAGGATTACGAGAATAGCGAAATGATGGAAAGAAAAATACGTCAGAAATCACCTAAGCGCAAGGTGGGTGCCAAGCGAGTATCCTTTGACGGTGGTGTACAACCTGTGGAGGATGAAGAGGAAAACGACCCTGACTACCAAGCAGATGAAGATGCATCCGACGACGATGAGGACGAGGATTTGGGAGAGGTTGAAAAGGACGAATTGGTCCAACTATACAAAGATCAAGCAGTGCCACCAGAAAAATTAGTATCACCCGAGTATTCTATTTTAACTCGGTCTCAAACAATGGCTGCTGCTAAAGACAGCATGCTTTTATGGAAAGCCAGAATCAGGCAAGTAGGCTATGTGCTTTGTGGTATATACATGTTCTTTGCATTGATCTGTTTGGGGATCACAGCATATGCACGTCAAAAGAATGGGTACTGTCAAAGCTATCCCGATATTGTCACTGAAATGCCTGGTAAGCGCTATCAAAGGATGACCTCATACTGCAGTAGCACTCACACTCGAAATAGCCCCATCATCCATTTTTTCATTACTGCCTTCGCCTTGCATTCCATGCCCAGATCATGGTATTTGCGCTGGCGGCGTATTGACCTGTGATACACTTTATGAACGAAAGACACCGCTCTACAACATTGGACACATGTTCCCCATCGCTGACGACTGCATTCATAATTCAGTACTAGGAAAATATGTTGCTCGTGTTGAACGCAAAATCAAAAACAAGTTGGCCATGCATCAAGGAGAATCCGCTTGCAGACATCTTTTGGCTCATGCCGATGTAGAGAGCATGGAACCAGCACCCATCGTTCGAGTGCTCGTCAAAGACATCTTATCTGATCTCAAGGAATCCATTCAACCTCCTCTTCCAGTAGACAAATCGGATGAAATTATGGTAATTGCATTGGCTGCTGTATTGGAGGATCCCAAAATCCACTACTGGGAGGTGTAAGTCTGCGATCTGCAAATAAAGATTGATCTACAAGCTAACGCATTCCTTCACCTAGTGATGGCGATAGATATTTGGGCACAGAGCATGTTCAGTACTCTACCAAATGCCAGCTTCAACGATTATACAAAAAGACGCCTTTCAATGTCAAGATGATGATCCTTAGTATGTGTTTTTGGAGGTGCCGCGTGTTTGATCATTTCACTCATTGGATCTATTATTCCCCGTAGCTTTCATTTCTATAGCCTCCGCCTTTATTGGAGCTTCAAGAGACTACAAAAGAAGCAAGATGTACAAACACAAGATTGACATTCTTGTAAAGGATACTACAGAACGCCTAATGAAACAGGTATTTTTTTTTTTTTTGGCTATTAATTAATTTACATCTAATTTACTAATGGGATTTTTTTTTTTTTTTTTTAGTATGAAAATCATCTCAAGGACCCTATTCAACATCCCTCAGCCGCTCTGTCTGTTTCTCAACTTCGCTCTTTCATTGTGGATGTCAACGACAGCAAAACGATCAACGATTGGCAAAAAGTAGTAGAAAAGATAGAGGTGCATCCCCATATTCGAAAATCATTCCGAGAAGTTCGTGGAGATCCTGTAGAGTACTGGGAATTAACCGTATAAATTTAAAAAAGCACTGTAGATAAATCATTAACCAGGAGTTGGCTGTAACACATTACAAATTAAGGGCAACTATAACTATTTTTAAAAAAAAAGCGTTTATTATATGTAGTTGTGAGATATAGATATAGTGTATGTAAAAGAGTATAAATACAAGTAGCAGCGTATTAGCATTTGGAGGGAGGGAGAGAAGGCCTTTTTGAAAAGGTTTGTTTATACACGGCTCCATCCTCCACCACGAGCAGGATAACGTTCACTCCATCCTCTGTACTGAGATGAATCACGTCTAATCATACACCATTGGATCAAAGCACCAACGATAGTAAGGCCCAAGCAACCACCTAGCATACCACGTAGAGCACTGCTTGCAGTGACTACAGCATCCACACTCTTGGCATGCAACATTTGATCTACAATTTCCAAGAAACCGGTTTTAACATAGACATCAATACCTGCAAAGATGGCGAAAGAACCAATGAATGCAGTAGCAAGGATGAACATGGGACGTTCCAAGAATGCCATCAACACGACACCCACAATAACGAGAACGACAATTAAGATGGCGCGGCCCCAATTGGTTTGGATCAAGCCATTGGTATTCCATGAGAGTAACCACAAAGCAAACATGTAACCGAGCAACGCACCCAGTAAATACACTGCCAAAAAGAAACAACAGCATAATAGACCACCAGTTAAAACACCCACGACGATGCTAACAACAAGTAAGATAGTATCTGTGTTGCTTCCGTAATCTGATTTAGCATTTGTCAGGATAATGTAGGCGACATTGGCACCAACATAGAAGCCAACAATAAACATGGTGAACTTTTGAAATACGCCTAATGTAAACGCATTAATACCATAATTAAAATTCTGCGTTTATCCGTTTTACCTCCAAGGAAACATAGATAACCACCGGTAATGAACAAAACAACACTGAAAACGATACCGTGGACAGTAACAGAGTGTCCAGCAACTGGCAAGATAGATCATTCAGTAACCATGATGATTAATTTTGTTAATTTCACTTACACATAATTGTAGCTGAATTATCTGATACATCACCAATGGGTGCCGCAGTGACAAAATCGCCCATGAATGTTACTAGTAATGCGAGTAATGTGTATATGAAAAGCGTAGAGTTTTTCTTGCTTGGAGACATTTTTTGATTTTTTTTTTTTTTTTAGTTTGTTATACAAGAGAAAAGAAAAAGAAAAAAAAGCATTAAACGGAAAACTTTAGGCATCTTATTTATAACAAACAAGCGGTAGGTTTCTTTTCACTATAATTGGAAGCAAGTTATTTATAAAACTCTCTTGGCGCTTAGCGAATACACCTATTATCAGCCACATCCACTTGTCCTTTTGTACTACGAAACCCGAGTTTAATTCAGAGAAGATACTATTGTTTCGTCTAGTACTTGATTTGCAAAAGGAATCCCGCTTAGAAACCCAACCTTTCTAAGCCAGGGAATCTATATAAATCAGAAACAAGAGGGCAGTTTCATCCAGGAACGTTGCTAAAAGAGCAGCGCGCGGAACCCTTTAGAATCTAATGATGATGAATGACCTGCTCCAGCTGTTGGTTACATGTACGGAAGCCTCATTTTTGCTTGAATTGGTAATTTGATGGGTTACAGACGGGGTTCTTCATCTCTGTCGGCTCAATGGCAAAAGTTATGATTTACACATTTTTAGTGATTCATCAACATGTAAATATGTGAGTGCATCTACAATTTGATTTTGGTCTACTTGTGTCTGCCAATTTCTGGTGGCAACGTTATAAAACTACTTTTCTTATAGCCGTATCACATTTCAAATGAAGCATTGTTTTCTGCAAACTAGACGACACTGGCCTGATAAAAGCCACACTTGCGTCTCTTGACCGAGGATAATGCCTTGCACTGCATGAGAATCTGGAATAGTTGTACAATATGAGCATCATATGGAAAGCACCACGCCACCAGGTTTGAAAAGATGATACATGCTCAAGTTTTTAGATTGGATTTAGAGAACATTTACTCTGATTTGGAAGCCAAACCCTTTTCTAATCTGACTAAGTTGACATTGGAAATAGCATCCATGTTTCTATAGGATTGAATTTATTTTGTAATGCGAAATATTAAACTATACGAGGCTCAACTCGTGATGTGTAAATCAAAAAAGAAAGCAAATTGTGTGTGTGTGTGTGTGTGTGTGTGTGTGTCGAAAGAGTGTGCCAATAATTAAATGAAGATTAACATGTAAATGGGTGATTGAAATTGGTGGTGTGGGGTTATATGTTTGATTGAGCGAGAGAAAGAATCTAATCTTCCATATCCATGGTTTCGGCCTTTGCCTTCTCTGCCTTGATAGCTTGCACTCTCTTCTTGGACTCGAGAGGAGCCAATTCGATATTTTGATTAACCACACGAACATCATCTTCCTTCTCCTTCTCCTTGTTACCAGCCATACGGTTCTTGTAGAATGCACGTTCACGCTTAGCTCTGATTTCCTGCACACGCTTCATGGCCTTGATGGTAGTTGCCATCATGTTACGATCATAACGAACAGGTACATTGCGACGCTTTTCAAATTCAAAGGTGGAATCCTATGGCCAAATACATCAGTATCGACATGTCCCGATGTCAACCCTATCCTACTACTTACAATGACCATCTCCTTTCCGCTGGCCTTTCTGAAGGCCTTGGTCCAGCGAACCTTACGAGGATTACGCTTCATCTTGAAATTCTTGTGACATTTGGATCTGCAAAAACGAAAGGTCTGTTTGGATGTTAACAAGTAGACCTTGATAATATAAAGCGATGAGACATTACCTTGCTATCATTACGAACAAACATGGTGCCGTGACCAGGATAACATGGTCCTGAACAGAAATAACAACGGGTGATGTGCATTAAGAGAGAGAGAGAGAGAGAGAGAGGATAGGTGCTTATTTATTACGGAGACAAAGCTACAAAGTTGTTTGATTACAACAATTTTGTATCAAGAAAAAATCTCGGGAATGAGCCACTAGGATATGTGACAGATAATACTTTCAATGCAAACAACTCGATGGAAGCAGCTTCAAATCAAAGATACCACACTGACCACTGTGGACAACCTCGACTGAAGCACAGCAGTGTAGGGCAACGTGCCAAAAAAGCTGTTTGATAGATTGAACGGGATGGAGACTTTACCGTATGGTAGATACGCTCCAATTTGATATATGTATGGCCTTTGGGGGCAACGTATATAGTAATCATCGGCTAAGAAACAGAAGCCAAAATTTCTATACATGTACTATCGGCTGCTTCCAACCCTAAACTGACTGTAATCTTGGGATTTCACCCATGTAGAGTATACAATATGCACTGTACTGAATACAGACAGAGAAATCCTCGAAATTGACAGCAAATCTATGTCGATTTACGTAGTGTCAACTAACATTGCACTTCTGTAAAATTGGCTCTCAAGCAACTAAAAGGTGAGATGACCATGTTTTTAGACATTTGATTAGATTTATGTGAATTTCCTGACTGACCATGACTGTATTTATATAGTCTTGAAAACATATGTATGTAGCTTGATCGATGAGAAATGTAGCAATTACTTATTATATTTTGGTCTTGGTTCCATCTAAAAGCGAGCTTTTGAATTAACAGAGGCATACTCCAAATATCTAATGGCTTTTATGGCCTGCCCCTTCTTTTAACTACAGGCAACATAATATTGCTCGAGCTCCCCTATTTTGGCTACTAAATGATAGATAGACATGCGGTAAATATAGCTCTAAAACAAACCCTGATTTCCCGTAATTCATGCTACACTCAGGAGTGTCTAGTTTATCGATTCGGTCAAATATTTTGCACTGATTTGCACTACAGACTGGCAAAAGAGATGTTTATGGTTACTAAATGCATAGAATTTTGTAAAGATGATAAAATGATATCATTCGTTAATGTGTAGATACAAACAAATAGATGTTGCATCATAGCATTAAAATGCTGTAGCGGGATCTCCAATGCCTTGCTATTGTCGCTACTACACTGCATAGACTTTACCCCTGAATACACAAACAACTGTGATCTAGGGTTTCTGGTTTGACGTTAGATTCTGCGTTTATCTTGGTTCCTTCAGCACAACGATAATAAAGAAAAAAGGGGTCATTTTCCATTCAATTTTAATACAATTAAGATACTTGTACGTTGTTATGTGTATACATGATGATCCTTTAAATCGGCAGACGTAAGGATATTGACATCCGGGTCATTATCCCAATACTAAAGATCCATGATGAGAGCGGTATTGATTTTACCGGAATTCCTGATCGTCCACATCATGTACCATAAAGCTGTATATATACATCACTGTTTGGCTTCTTTCTCTCTTTCTCTTTTTTTCTCTCTCTTTCTCTGTCTCTCTTTCTCTCTCTCTCTTTTTGAATTATCGTTTCTTGCAACGACACGTACAAAGGATATGGATGAAGCTGCACGTGTCATGCTCGCTAAATTGACTTTGGTGGATCCAACGACGTCTTCATTTTCAGCGTATCAACAGAGCGCAGAGGTGAGTGCTTCATACCTGATGAAAAGTGCAATCAGCGCATACACTAATATGGCCTACAGATTCGACAATTTTGGAAGCTAATCGAGTCGTCCATTCAGACCATACTTACAGTAGTTTCCAACAACTTTTCCACCACAAATCAGTTTGATGTCTCATCCCGGTTAATCAGTATTTTGAGTGCATCTACATTACTATCATCGATATTGTATGCCATTATTGCAACTCAAAAACGCATCAACAAGTCGGATGATAACATTGAAAGTGTGATGAAAAAGGAGATGCAAGTAATATTGTATCATATTCAGATACTCAAACAAGATTTAAATTGGTCAAACATCAAAGCAGAGGTATATATATATATATATACTCGGTGGAAATGGTATTACGCCCTCGTGTTAACAGCAGCATCCCCGCATAGTCTGCCCAGGAAGCCATCATACATCATACAGACATTTTAATAGATTCATTGGTTGCTTACACGCTGTCTCCATTCAATGCGCCTTTGCAAGTGCACCCTTACAAAGGCATGTATTAATTACTCAAGATATTGTTACATTGAGAGAGAGAGTGAGAGAAAGGAAAAAAAAAGAGCAAGAGTATATCTATAACGTGTGTATATACACCTTGTTTTCAGGGACTGAACATATGTACATACATATAAAAGGGACACAGAGAAGAGAGGAGAGCATGACAGAGCAGAGCAATGCACAGATACACTAATTTCTTTATATTTCAATACAGTTTTTTCTTACTCTTCTTTTACTTCTACCAACACAGCTGCAACCACCAACCGACATTCCGCTGCGAGTGTGTGTAGAATCGAAAATACAATTCCGCCGGTGGATGACAGCTCTGAATCATCATCAAAAACACTAATTACAGATCAGTATCATCCATATTACATTAAGCCATCCAGGTAAGTTGATGCTAGTAGTGCGCATGTCTTAATCTCATGCAGACGTTCACTAGGGAAAGATCCAATACCGATACAGGCAAGCGCACAGATCCTTATAAATTCATACAGCTGTGCTTATTTCTTTTGTGTTTATTGAACAGTGGGCAAGAAATTCATACGTAGCATTCACTCTCTCAAATCTCGTCCTGCATTTCCCATGGCGCTTTTACCGCATAGGCAATCGGCTGAACCGATGAATTCCGAACAACCGCCGAAAAAGAAGCGCATCTTTTACGATCGCATCAACGAAGAAGACTTGTACCAAAGCGATGAGAGTTCGTGGGATGAGGCCAGCTCCAACCACTCATCAACAGCAGCCGCAACAGTAAAGACAAACAGCCATGCAGCAACCATTCGCTCGCTGTTTGCGAATCAGCATTCAGGCACTACGTCTAAAGCGACAAAAAGAGCTTCCAGAGGCATTCGAGACCTCTTTCAATCATCATCTTGTACGCTCAAGGAAGAGCCGCAGTATGCAACAGCAAAGAAGAAGCGAGAAAGCATCAGTACGTTGTTCAGTAGCAACCATTCTAGAAAACAGGTCAGTCACCCAAAATGGTTTGCATTATATCCTACCTACCTACCTACCAACTCCTTAAATGTCCTATTCTGTTATAGTCAACAACAAAAGAAGCGGAACAACAGCAATCTCAGGGCTCTCTTTATTCTTCTTCATCTACTGCTACTTCACTCTCCACCTGCTCCACTGAAAGCATGAACCAGCATTTTGAAGTCATGCCCATGGAGGACCAAGTGACCAACAACGCTAAATCGCACTTGATACCACCCTTTGCGAAAAAGATCAATATTCACTGGTCTGTGGAAGAGGAAGACGTATTCAAGAACTGGAGAAATCAACGAGCATTGTACAGAGTAGAGTCTATTCATCCACATCACGAGGAGCATGGCGAAGAAGACGAAGAGGCAGATAGCGAAGACTCGTACAGCCAGGCATTAGTGGCTTCCACGCTCAAACGAGAAAAGAGCAGGAAGCGAAGAAGCAGCGGCTCTCTTGTGCCTGCTCCTGTGAAAGCACTGTTATCAGCTCCAATGACGAGAGAAAATTCTCCACTGCCTCCACTCCCCACAGTCGAGAATTTCCTGACAATCATGAATGCGCCTACTTCACCTGACTCGTCTTATTTCTCTGCACGATCAGTGTCATCCAACTCGTCTTCTCAATCAACACTCAATTCCATCCTCCTGGACGATGTCACTGATGGACTGGAAAGCACGCACATTATGGAGTCCTGTTTGTCATCAGACAGCCATAGTAGCAGTGATGCAAGCAGCATGGCGTCCGCAACAAAGAAAGCTGACGTCCCAGTGACAATCAAATCATCTCCTTCTTCCACCGCATCCTCGATTCCTCCACCTGTGCCTCCCAAAGACCACGATTTGAAGCGCATGCTCACAATGGATCCGCAAGGCAATGCAACGACCAACATCAACAACAAGCAGGAAAAGAGGAGCAGCATCACTATGAGTCCTGAGACACTGAAGCGGGTGTACAGCAGTAAAAAGAAAAAGATAGCGCCCTCCACCGCGGAGATGAGGATCACAACAAGCGATATTCCAAACAACCACCATGCATCCTTTGCACCCAAATCAGCAGATACTACATCCACATTCAGGCCACCTATTCCACCTCGTAGAAGTAGTATGCCGCTACCACCGCCAAAATCCAACTCCAATGCTGCAATGCCTCCATTGCCGGTGGATGCGAAAAAAAAGGCGGATGCCTACAGCAGAAGGCCCTCCAAATTGGACGATGCTAGCTCCTGGACTTCATTTCTAGGCATCAAAAAGGAAGAATCTGCAGTCAATAATGTAAGCCCTTTTTTTTTATTATTGAATGCAACATGTATTCATACACAACTTTTGATTAGACGGATAAAAAAGCCAAACTGGGCAGATCATTAGGTAAGCTTTCGGAATAAACAGAGATCTACACTGCGTATGATATACTCATGCATGCAGTACGAAAAAAAACAGGGGCAACAGCAACAAAAAAAGCAAAGAAGAGCGACAGTAGCAATCTGCTCAAAGTAACTGAAAATGGCCAAGTTGTGCTGCTATATGAAATGAAACACGGAAAACTGCAAGTGATTGCAGGTACTACAGAACGGCTGTTGGAGAAGCTGGCTGACGAGACGACGCAAGACATGGAGTACGTGGACACATTTTTAATGAACTATGGCAGCTTTACAACGTCCATGCATCTGCTGAATCAACTGATCAGTCGTTTCCATCTGGGCCCCTTGCCAGGCGAGCATGAGTATTTCAAGAAATGGCAGCATTCAATTCAATCCAAAGTGCTGACTGTCATTGACCGATGGGTGACACTGCAATACCAAGACTTCAAGTATGATTTAGACCTGCAAAAGAAGCTCAACTTGTTCCTGTTCAACAATGATACTGTACTACTACAACAATTTAGACAGCAAGTAGACAAGATTCAATACAACCTGAAGCTACAGATACAGCAGTTCTCTAATCACCAGCACCATGTGTCCGTGATCACTGCTAATCAGCATATATCAGCACCACCTTCCAATGCATTCCATTTTCACTTTTCATTTGGTAACAGTAGTCAATCTTTACCTACCACTGTACATACAAGCAACACCAGCAATACTCGCAGACCCTCTAATGGCTTGTTTTCTTCATCTTCTTCCATCCCGCCTGAATTACCCATGCAGATCCACGACTCTAGCTCCCTCAAAACAACGCTTCATACATCGCTAGTCTCGCTCGAATCCAAAGACATTGCTCGTTATTTGACATTGGCGGATTTCTACCTCTTTAAATCGATTCAATCTCGTGAGCTCATGAGCAACAATAACAACCACAAGACAGACATCAACTATACAGAGCTCATGACAAAGAGAGCAAATATGGTAAGCCATACACTTGAGCGTGCCAAAATGTAGCTAATGACATGGTGTTTCCAGCTGAGTCATTGGGTGGTGCATGAAATTTGCAGTATTTCATATCTGAAGCCAAAGCGAAGTCTGTTGAAAAAGTTTATCGAGATTGCCAAGGTAAAAGGACAACCACAAAGTCAATGTAAAGCCATACTCATTCATTTGCTGTAGCTCTGCTTGGAATTCAACAATTTTCATACATGTATGGTCATCACAATGGGGCTTGCTAGTGCACCGAAACTCAAAGATGTATGGGAAACACTTTCTAACCGAGACACCAACACATTTGCATCACTCCAAAAGTTGCTGGATGTCAGCATGAACATGCGCTACTACCGACAAAAGATCCAACTTGCCAAAGCACCGTCTATACCCTTCTTACCCGTCGTGCTCAAAGATCAGACCTTTTTCCGAGAAAACTCGACGTTTCTGATATCCCGCCCTCATCTGGTCAATTTTGCCAAATTCACCTCTATACGTCAATTTGTAGATAAAACCAAAGCATTGACAAGGGAGAACTACTACTTTTCCAACGATTTGACTCGATACCCGTTCTTTTCAATGACTCCATCCGAAACTGACACTACCACCACCACAACGACAACATCACCGCCTGGAGGGCCATTGGATTGCATTGCAGATTGGGTGGAAGATAGATTGAGTCAAGTGCAATCATGCTATCTTCATTGTGATTTATTATCCAAATTGTAAAAGAAATTAAAGCTATTCGTTTCCAAATGTATAAGGATCTCCTTTTCTTAGTTTACATTTTGAGCTCGGTAAGACATAACTGATGGGTTTACTGTTACAGCTTCGTTTTGAATGTGTGGTTATAATCAGGTCATTGACTGTGTGCTCTTTACTGTTGTTCATGTTGTTGTTGTTGCTGCTATTACTGGGTATATTCTCTTGTTGTGGTGGTTGGATTAAAGGCTGTGATGATGATGGTGGTGGTGGTGGTGGTAGTGGTTGGGATTGATCCACTGCATCGAATGCTCGCTTCCTGGGAATTGCTTTCTTTCTGCGCTTGGGCTTCTTTGCTTTGTCAATGCGTAACTGAAGGTTCTCTTGCTGTAGTTGAGACACCATAATTTCCAGCGTCGCTATTCTTTCAGCGAGCCTTGTGTTCACCCTGATGATTTCTTGATTTTGTTTTTCATATTCGGCTAGGGTATGGCATCCTGTTGGCTTATTCATGTCGTTTGAGGTGATGGTGTTGGGTAAGAGGAAGAAAGAGTCCAAGTTTCGGCGTTAGACCAACTTGATGAAATGATTGATTGGTGTAAATGCCCCTCGCCTCCGCCCCCCCCCTTCTCTCTCTCACTATCTGTTAATATCATAAAGTTTTGTGTAATCATGATTCAACCCCTTCCTCTTTTTCCCCTTCTCCTCTTTTACACACACACACACACTCTCTCTCTGTATCGCTTCTAGCCTCCTTTCTATAGATGCAGCAGGCTTCAAGTTGGAATAAATACATCAAATATGGACTCATCATTGGCCTGCTACTGGCAGTTTTCTTTGTGTATCAAATCGAATTCAGTAATCCCATACCAAAGAGCAACAAAACCTCGGCTGATTATTTGATGAATGACCAAGCTCAACAACAACATCACTTTCAAGATACGTCAAATACCAACAGTTCGCTTGCCACTGCATGTGATTGCCCAACACCATTTTCCAATGTTTCGTTTCTTCACCATGGCGAGAAATCACCCATCTTTGTGCCTGAAGACCTTTCTGTGATGCAGCCTGATGTGCTGGATAAGCTCAACCTCAATAAACAGAGCGATGGCACTGTGATCATCACTGTGGCGGGCTACGGCATGCGACATGAACTGTACAATTGGATACACTACATGCAGACAGCCAAAGAGAAGAAATACGTTGTATTCTGCACAGATGCTAAATTATACTTGCACTTGATCGTTGCTGGTCACGAAGAGAGAGTAGCGCTGGTGCCAGAAGACTGGTACGTCAATGATGTCGATCTCTTTACCCGTACAAATGTCTCCATGCTGGATGACGCCCGTTTATCGCATGTCAAAACATGGATTTTGCAGAGATTAGTCTACTCTGACACGCCTATCAATGCATTGATGTTGGACGCCAATCAGATCATGATCCATAAACGCACTCGAGAATATATCCAAACTTTACTGCACATTCGAGAAGATACCCAAATTATTGCTACACAAGACGGCTTGGATCAGCATACCATCAACACTGGCTTAATGTTGATTCGTAGCCACGGACATTTGGCTAAACGAGTCTTGGCAAGCACCATCCAAATACAAGAAAAGCAACCCACCTTGCATCAACAAGAAGCATTCAATCAAGCACTAGATCAGATGGAACTTCATGTGAAAACTGGAATGACTGTGTTGCTGGATATCATTCATTTCCCTAATGGTGTAAATTACTTTGAGCAGAACCTTCCAGGCTCCAAAGGCATTAAGCCTTATGTTATTCACGCGAATCACAAGGTGAGTCGTGCCAATGAAGAGGCTGCTACTGTTTGAATGCTGATGTGTGCAATTTAGTTTGGACAGGAAAGAATTGATGTGCTGAAGGAGCATGGCTTCTGGAAAGTGAGCGAGGATTTCGTGGATGGCATCAGCCGCCAAGTGGAAGACATTTTGCAAAGAACACACCAATTAGAACTGCAACAAGCACAAGACACAGAGACTGAAGCAGAAGCAGAGCAGCCAGTGAACGAATAAACTGCCATAAAAGACCATCACCTACTATTTTACCCAGCATCTAATTTATAATAAACCCCTTGGCTTTATTTGACCAGCTTAGTCTGGCATCTCAGATAAACTCACCTCTGCATTGCTGTCATCAAATGGCCCATAAGATAGCATTATTCCGAATCATGATTACTAGGTGTATCCGACAGTTTGGTGATCATGGCCTGCCTTATGAGTCATCTCATATGATTACAGAGAGACGCTATCATGTTTCAGACGAAAATACACTTTCGTTATTGAACACCAGATGTCAGAAAGCTGTTCATTCAAGGTGTAACAGGAATTTTTTTTTTTTTTTTTTTTTTTTTTTTTTTTTTTAGGCATGACAATCAATGCAAATCTTGCAACTAAGAATAGGCAAAGCTTCTATCTATACAGGGAGCAATTTTTTATTTCAATTCCTTACGAAATGCATGCGCAATGCCATGGCGGAACAGGCTGTTGAGTACAGTTACAGCCTTGAATTTGAATGTTGGGTATCACGAGCTGCCAATGAAGCACAAAAGGATACACCTTTATCTGTCTTGTTGGAATCCTACCTGCACATTACACAAGCATAGTCAGGGCGATATAGAATGATTCAGAATGCTCGTACATTCAAACATGTGTTTCCTCATCCATTATACCAGCATTGAAATCCATATTGATTTAATTTACAAGAGAGTTTTAAAAAAGGGAAAAGAGCTAAAAATAAATGTATTGGGCTGATTCAGATGAATTTAGGAGCAAAGCATGGGAAGAGATGCTTACACGATGATAGATGTCTTTTCAAACGTCCTGTTTATATATCAAGAATCAAGGGGAAACAGCAGCAGGAGGCACCCTTTTATGGGCGCTCAACATGTTGGCCGTTTTTTTTTTTGGGGAGCCCTTCATGTTGACATGTAGCACTGTGTGCACTATGGTTTCATCAAATGTGCCTTCCTGTGCCTTGCTAAAATTAGACTCTGCTTTAAATATAGGAATGGCTCTAGCACATTGCTGATTTGGCGTTCAGCCACGGTTCAGTAGCATGTAGGCGATGCGTGTATAATGATGACATACGGTCAAACATTACTGGATTTTGCAGGCGCTTTTTGTTGATATAGTATTTGCCATGGTGGTTTGATATGTCGGGACTTTGGTTTCTGACAGATTCACATGGCTATTCGTAGAACATACAAGCATGAATAAGGTTCAATACTGAGCAGAAAAAGACATACAAGATTTCCCCTTGTCTAAGGTTATGTGGCATTTCCTTCCTTACCCAACTTTTTTTTTGATAGTAAAAAAAAATAGATCTGAACCCCGTTCCACGGAAATCGCCCTATCAAACTGATTAATGCTATAAATACCAGAAAACTTTTTCCAACATCCCATTGCTCTCTTTACTCTTTTCAATCATGACTATCGCCTCACCATTACCTCTCTCTGATACAGAAATCAAGGCATTGCAGACTCGCTTTGATAATGCTGGTCAAGGCCACGTATTCAAGTTCTTTAACCAGATCTCTGAACAGGAACAGGTTGAATTTCTGAATCAAATAGTCAACATTGATGTCGAGAATTTGAACGCCATCTACGACAAAGCCATTGAAGGTGCTGCTGCTGCTGCTTCCAGCAATGATCAAAATGAATTGCAACCTTTGTCCCAAGAGGTGTTTGATTCCGTGTTAAAGCAAGATCCATCTACATTGAAGGAATGGGAATTGACTGGTCTCGAGAAAATTGCCCAAGGTAAAGTCGCAGTCATCTTGATGGCTGGTGGTCAAGGTACACGTCTCGGTTCTTCTGATCCCAAGGGTTGCTATAATATCAACTTGCCCTCTGGCAAATCGCTCTTCCAACTCCAAGCTGAACGTATTTTAAAGGTGCAAGAGCTGGCTCAACAATACCGCAGAGAGCAGGATCCTGTAGAGACCATCATTCCTTGGTACATCATGACATCGGGTCCCACCAACAAGCCTACCTATGAATTCTTTAAAAAGAACAACTTTTTTGGCCTCAAGGAGCAAAATGTCATCTTTTTTGAGCAGGGCGTACTTCCCTGTTTGACCATGGACGGAAAAATCATCCTGGAATCCAAGGGCAAGGTCGCTGTTGCACCTGATGGTAATGGTGGTATTTATAAGGCTGTTCAAGACAAGGGCGTTATCCAATCACTCAAGGAACGCGGCATCGAGTACTCTCACTGCTACTGTGTCGACAATTGCTTGGCCCGTGTTGCTGATCCCGTCTTTATCGGTTATTGTATTTCAAAGGGTACGGATTGTGGTGTCAAGGTCGTTGGTAAAGCTGCACCAGAGGAGCCTGTCGGTGTTGTCTGTGTCCGTAATGGTAAATATGGAGTTGTTGAGTATTCTGAAATCTCTGATGAAACCGCCCACGAACGTCATGCTGATGGCTCACTCAAATACGGTGCCGCCAACATTGCCAACCATTTCTTCTCTACCGCCTTCTTGGAACGCGTCCCATCCTTCCAAGCTGAATTAGAATACCACATTGCAAAGAAGAAGATCAAGTACATTGATCTTGAAACTGATGAACAGATCTCCCCCAAATCAAACTCTGGTATGAAACTTGAATGTTTCGTGTTTGATGTCTTTCCTTATGCTCAAAATATGTCTGTGCTCGAGGTGGATCGTATTGAAGAGTTTTCTCCTTTAAAGAATGCTCCTGGTACTGGCGCTGATTGCCCTGAAACTTCTCGTCGTGATATCGTTTCTCAACATGTGCGTTTCATTGAAAATGCTGGTGGAAAGGTCGTTGGTTTAAATGAACATGATTGTGAGAAACTCTTGTTTGAAATCTCTCCTTGCGTCTCTTACTCTGGTGAAGGTCTGGAACACATTGTTCGTGGAAAGACTGTGAGAGCTCCTGCTACCATTGAATCATTGGAAGACTTGATCCGTGCTACTTGTTAAATAATTTTGTTTTTGCTTTCTCTTCATCATCTCCCAATTCGCATTCTATAATTCCATTTCCTCCGTAATATTCCATCATTGTTAAATATTTCATCGTCCTTTCTCTCTTGCTTTTTCTTTGATATCACCCGTAAAAGTGATTATATACATGCTTTTGTTTTCTTGTATTAAAGAAATAAACCATCATGATTAATCATTATTTGAAACTAATGATACCTTGCTCTCATTTGGCTTATTTCAGAGCTACTACAAGGTCTTGCCTTGCAACTTGCCTGATGTGTGAACATGTATTTTGTATGACAAAAGCGTCTTGTGGTGACAGGATTGTTGATAGTTGCTCTCAAAAGTGCCTGAAAGCCTTACTTTTGCAGGAATGGTTATAGGCATGTGAAAGCTGCTACAGATTTACTGTATAAACCTCACTAGACGATCTATCTCGCTACCCTTGCTGTCAGCTTGTCATTGCAAAAGACGCCTTTACGAGAAAAACTCCCAAGAAAAAAAAGTACTCGGGCTAAGCAACTGTCCTTTCAACGCCATGATCCCCATTTGATCAGCATTGTAATTACCCTTGTCATCATCCTTGTCATCATCCTTGTCATCATCCTTGTCATCATCCTTGTCATCAACAGAAAGGCATTTAGGTCAGCCAGCAGTAAGCCGCCACCAAAAACAATTCAAACGCAGCTTTTTTTTTTTTTTTTTGTTCAAGATTGGACAGATTCTGTCTTTTTTCGACTTCTTTAAACTATTCTATGATATTCGACTACATAAATTGTGATGATCACCCTACGCTCCCTAATACATTCTTGAAGTACTTTTCAAGGCGCTTGTAATGGTGCTGATTATAATAAATACTTTGACTGAAATTATTGAGCAATTTAATAAAATTTGAAATGAGGTTTTTAACGAAAATAGCCATATTTTGCATATGAAAGTCTCAGAAAAGTGGTTTCAGAGGTTGCATTGAATCGAGGGAAACATTTTGATTTAATACATACCATAGTAAAAATCTTCATTTTCAAGGTGAAAAATGCGATCGTTTAATTTTCGATGAAAACATGAGGTGCCCTTCATGATTTTTTGGCTGATTTTTGGCCATTTTTTTTTTGGCCCAAAAAGTTGAGCAAAGGTATCAGGAAGTTACTACTACTCAAGTACAATTGTTTAGCGTTATTTTGGCAACTCAGGGAGGTCTACATGTCGAGATATGAAGGCTTGAAAGCTGTCCAATTGGGTTATGTTTTGCTTTATAGCTTTTATGTACATGGCATGAAGCTCATCTTTGGTAGCTGTAATTTACTGGAAGGGCAGTTCTGCAGCCTGTGTAATCTCTAATTCGAATAGAAGGTATACTGATTTTGTAAAGCTAATTCATGCAAATTTTGATGCGTTATGTTGTTGGTAAGCTATTAATAATAATGGAAATGAAAAACCGAATTTGCTGCTTGAATATTATGTTTTTGCACCTTCGCTTCGCTACGGTAAAACCCTCATTAAGATTAATATTACCAAATGCTGGGTTAGATGCTTAGTTGCCATGGGTTTCCACTTTCACTTTGCTATGGCAAAATCGCTTCATAGGTCAATGTTAACAAATGTTGAATTAGATGCGTTATGTCTTGATGGATGGGCTTAGCATTTCCTCCAAACCCCCTCCCCGATGCCGGCTTCGCTGGAGGGTTTATTCACCTTGTACGGTACTCCATTCTCTAAATTTTTGAAAGGATATGGTTTGTTTGTCTATTTTTTTTTTGAATGTTTTACAATAATTATGCTGAGCAAATTCCATGCTAGGATAGCTGTTTGGACGGATCCCTTTGATGTAAGGGCCAACCCACGTCATTGCATTTTGGATTTACCAGTTTTCTCCACATTGGAATTACTACGCTTGCAACATGTCAATCAATTGCATCTATCATCAAGCAAACCACCAACTGAAGGACCTGGCTAGAGATATGCTACTCCACATATTACTCATGCTCATAACGCTATTGTAGCTTAGATTGCACATAAAACTGATAATGACAAGACTTTAAAAGAAGGGCATTTAGAGGGTTAAAAGCATAGTTTATTATCATTTACGTTATTCATTCACATTTATATATAAAAAAAAAGACTCTTCTTGGTTTCTCAAAGCCATTTACAATGGCAATGATACTCACAGGAACAACTACGAGAAAGTGAGAGTCTAAATGTTCCCAAATGGAGAGCGTACCTAGCGTGAGGCCCAACTACCAACCCAAGACACTGTTACATGCTCAGGCGACCTACGAGTAAGCCAATGGGTTGAACACACACAACAGAGCACGCAACCCCAAAAAACACCTCCATTAACAAAAAAAAACCTGACTTGAAAGAAACAAAGTGGTGCCATAAGAGAGAGCGATACAAGTAAAAGCAAGAAAGTAGCATGCAAACGAAAGGGTGTTACACGCTAATAGTAAAAGAACAAAGGTAAAGTATTCATCCATCTAAAAGTTTCCCTCTTTATATACCATGTCACTGTGGAAAGTCTCGAACCAAAAGACCTCACGGCGTTAGTTTCGTATTGTTTCGTGTTGTTTTGATGAATTTCGCGATGTTCACCTCACCTTGGATCCTGAAAACAGCACCATTGCATTCCCCAAACAATTTGCTTTCCAATGATGTGCATACTTTATAGTAGAATATCTTCTTTTTGACTATGCAACGACCATTTACTTGTTCATCTCTCTTCAATCCATGTCGTTTTGTTTACTCTTTTACATGTAAAAAAATTTTTTTAGTTCGATTTCGCCTACAAATGAGCTGTTTTGATTATGCATGATCCGGGGACCTTCCAAAAGAGGGCAGCTCCTAAACTTATGCTATGAAATATGTTGACTCTATATGATGAGATGAATACTTTTGGCGTGAGAATTACAAACAGGTTACAGGAATGATACTGAAGACGAATCAACCCACCATGTGAATGTGGGCATAGTGATGATGTATGGTGGCCCAAACACTTGATTGATATCATTGACAGCAACCCATGATAGTTGGCACAAGATTGCTTGTACTGGCTCGAAAAACAATCTGTTTTGTTCTATTCCATGGAGACTAAGACATCAATTTTTATATGGTGCTCTTATCGATGCTTTGTCTTCCAAGGTGTGCACTTGTTTCTTGATTTGAATGTGCATGCTTTGTGGTACAAAAATCATTGAAAACTGGTTCTAGACGATGTAAATAAAGAAGAAGCTATGCTTATCATCCAATTAAATAAACAGCTCATGATGAATGCAAACAGAAGGAGAGGTGAATCGAGAGCATTATAATTTCTGGTAGCGAGAATAAGGAGAGGTAGAGAAGGACAACCGAATTCAGCTTCCAGTTACACCTGTTTCAGAGTCAAATGATCTTTTTTTTTTTTTTTTTTTTTTTTTTTTTTTTTTTTTTGTTTACCTTGAACATTGGTGTTAAAATCTTTCATGTGAAATACACCTATGAGAAAATGGGGGGATAGAGAGCTCATTGCATGTGAATGTCGAAAATGAGCATTTTGCAATAGTGAAATAAATATAATTGGGGATAGAAAACAGCTGGAAGCATAGGATGAAGCGGATCAAATAGAGCAAATGTCAACTGTCAAAATGGTACTACTCTCACCTTCTTAAAGTAGCAACGTATGGATAAAAGTTAAGAAAACGAATTTAAATGTGACAAAGAGACCACACAACTGAGCCTTGGTGGGAAACAACGTAGCCATGTGAAAATATGGCATAAGATCTCGTCAATCCCAGTTATGCTTATTGCGGCATATGCTACATTTGCATGTGTATTAGATATCGCATAGTAAGAACCTTCAGTAAGCAGCTTGTAGCTGTGGATCAGGCTCTCTTACAATGCTCCACATTTATATCAATGGAATCCATTCATATACGGACAGACAGCATACCTACATCACCTCTTGCTGCTCAAAAATTTGCAAATCACAGCGAAATTAGAATGCATTTGAACAGTGATTTCTCAAGCTAGACACCGTTTTAGACCGCCAGAATAGCACCAAACCATTGCTCTCGTCTAGCACTTACTTTCTGACACCTTTGCTCAACTTTTTTGGGATTGCCAAAATTTGACCAAAAAAGCATGAGGGATACCTCATGGGATTTTGACGAAAATCAAACGATCGCTTTTTTGATCGCAAGAAACAAGACTTTTGCTATGGCATATATTGACTCTAAATGTTTGTATCGATCCAAAGCAACCCCTGAAACTTTGTTTGTAAGACATTCATATGTAAGATTTCGACAAAGTCGCAAAAAACGTCATTTCATATTTTTCGGGTTTTCTCCTTTTATTTATTCATAACACCTCTTGTATTTGGCACCATCGGATACACCTTGAAAAGTACCCTAGAAATGCATTAGGAAGTATGGGTTGATCATGACAATCCTCATAGTCAAATCTGGCACAATAGATCGAACAAGTCGATTATGAATCAGATCTGGCCAATCTGAAGCATAAAAAATACGGCGTTTAAATACGAGAACTGTCTGCTGGTTACTGACCAAGATGATGGCCTTTTCAATTATGATTGTAATAGATAATTGTGAAGTTTACAAGAAGGTGAATGCAACTTGAAAGTGCCGCATCGTCTTATGGATTATTCATTTTTTTTTTGTTGTACTTTTTTGGTGTAGAGTCAGTTAAATTCTTCCTGCAATGCATGTCATATTGTGGAACGCCCATGATCAGCGATAACCGAATCCGCGTCTATCACCGTGTTCCTATCAAGAAATTTCCCCTTGCTGATGATACGCATTGTTTGTACTCATTTGATGCATCCGCATCGTACCACAAAGATCGTAATGCTATTATAGACGTGTGAACCACTTTATTAGATGTAATTAGAATATAATTTAACAATAATATCAGTTTTAAACAAGCTCCATGTAACGCTTCAATTCGTAATCAGTAACAGCGCTTTGCCAAAGATTCCACTCATGCTTTCTGGTACTGACATAATGGTCAACAAACTCATCGCCCAATACCTTACGTGCCACAGAGTCCTTTTTATCCATCTCTACAGTAGCTTCCTGAAGCGTGCGTGCTAATCTTTGGTTATTCGTTTGATCGCCTGCAGTCTGACTTGGACCTGTTGGAAGCTCTTGCTTGGTCTCAATACCCCAGTAACCGCATTTGAGAACAGCAGCTAAAGCCAAATGAGGATTGATATCTGCACCTGACACTCTCTACAATTTAGGTTGTTGATGAATATAATGATACACTGGTTGAGTTTCTTTTTTTCTTCTTACCATTTCCATCCGAGTGGCACTTGCAGATGTGCTAGGAGGGGCTATTACACGCACAGCACTATGACGAGAATCCATACCCCATGAGACACTTACAGGGGCCCAATAGTTTTCTACCAGTCGCTTGTAACTAGGTTGATCTGCAATTAGACTCGATCCTCACGTAACTAAACATGAACAATAGCTTACCTATTCACAGTTGGGGCCAAAATAGCCAATATACTCGGCAATCCTCTCAACACACCAGCCAAAAACCAAACGGCGTCCTTTGTCAAATTGGGAACATCCTCACTAGGTTCTCCAATAGCAAACACATTCTCACCCTTTTCATTCTTCAAGCTGAAATGCATATGACCTGAACAGCCGGGCTGATCACTGTAAGGTTTAGCCATAAAAGAGGGCATGACATTGTGCTTCAAGCCAATCTGTTTCATGGATGTCTTGAAGAGTGTACCCCGATCGCCCATTTCCTTGGCCTCTTGATACAAGACAGCAGCTTCGAATACACCAGGACCTGTTTCTGTATGCCAGCTTTCGACGTCCACGCGGAATTGCTTGAGCCAGTCAAAGGCATTGTAGTAAAACTCTTGATTCTGTAAGGGTCTCAAGACTGAGTAGCCGCACATGCCCAATGTAAGCGGAGTGAGCTGGCTATGACCCTTTGCGCTCAAGCTCTCGGCTGTTTCTGCAATGATGTTGGTATCACTATTACGTATCCGCATGCATGCACATACGTTGCGCTTACCTTTAAAGCAAAAGAATTCGAATTCGACACCACAATAGGGCGATAAACCCAATCCATTGAATTGATCCACAGCACTCTTGAGCAAGTTACGAGGACAGCAGTAGAGAGGCTTATTTGTAACAGGATGATAGAGGCTGACAAAAAAGAAGGGGATGTTGTTTTCCCATGGTATACGGCGATAAGACGATAAGTCGATCTTGGCAATCAAATCAAAATACTGACAATCTTTGCCAGCAAATTCGCTTGGAGTAGTGTAGTTGTTATCTTGAATATCCCAGCCAAAGATAACAGAGCAGAATCCTATGCGCCATATGGACTGTCACTACCGTCCTACCTCCCTTTTCACCATGCTGTCGACTTACCAAAACCATCCTTGGCTACGTGCAAAAACTTGTCCTTATGCATCACTTTGCCTCTCAGCAAACCGTCAATGTCTACAGCAGCTACCTTAATCTTTGTATCATTGGCGAGCGTCTCCTCCAAGTTTTCAAGCGTCAAGATGGATTGTTTGGTCATGTTGTAAAATCTAATATAAAAGCAAGGAAAAGAAAAGGAAATAAAACAGGAACCCAAGCTAGTTATTTATGCACACACGTTAGTCAATGGCACTAGCGAGTTGCATCAATGCTCATCTGAGCTGCAAATATGGTGCACACAACATCGTCATCCCATCCAGCACCTTTTGCATCTAATAACAAATTAGGCAAATTTATGATTACGCTGAATGCGAGCATATGAGAGGACCGGCCACGTTCGGTCCTCCTTCCCCAGCCTTCTCTCACATCATTCAACGAATGTAGCACAAGCAGGTTGGTAGATTTGGTGGGCCACGTCAATTTAGAGTGGTAGGTATAAATAAGAGTTTTTCTCTTATTCCTTGCTTCTTCTTCTTGTCCTTTCTATTTATTTATTTACTTGCTACCTTACATTACTATGACTACTGCCACTAAAACCAGCACCATCTACTCTTTGGACGATGTCTCCAAGCACAATACCAAGAATGATTTGTGGATGACCATCCATAACAAGGTATACAACATCACTGAATTTGTTTTGGAGGTAAGGATCAACACACATGTACATTTGGATGAACGGTGTACTCATCTATCTCCTTGTCTAGCACCCTGGAGGTAAGAGCATTGGAGTAAGGACACACACACGTGAAAGCAGAGATTGATTGGGGTTGCACATTAGGTGAGGAAGTGTTGCTTGATGAAGCAGGTAATGGCATATCAATTGTAAGCTTGAGAGAAATGTGTAGCTGATAGCGTATAATGTACACTAGGCAAGGATGCTACGGAGGCTTTTGAGGACATTGGCCACTCTGATGAGGCCCGTGAGATCTTGGAAAAGTATTTAATCGGTACCTTGGATGAGGCTGTAAGTAGAATCTATCTGTTTATGGGTACATGGAGATTAATAGAATGCATATTAGTCTCAAAACAACACCTACAAGTTTAATGTTATCCGCGCTGGTGAGCTCCCTGAGCAAAAGAAGCAATCTGGATCGTAAGTTATTTATTTGGATAAGCGAGAAAGAGAGAGAGAGAGAGTGTGTGTTTACTCATGTTGTACACATACACACACAGGTTCCTTCGTGTCATCTTGCCTGCCCTCGCTGTCGTCGGTGTCATTGCCTACAAGTTTATCCTTGCTCCTCAACGTCAATAAACAGACAAAATACTTCTTGATTGCATATTGTAAACAGATGCATTTCGAATAAAAATGTACACATATAAATTGGGTTTCTCTGCTTTTATTATTCTCTTTTCTTTTTTTTCATTTGATTCATATCACTCAAAGCATGGGAGCATTGGCAAAGAAACAGAGATCCAGCAACACATCGTATCAGATTATTTTGCATCAAATTGGATTTCTGCTTACAGGAGTGTGTACAACACTCGGTGTACAATGGCTGTTTTACAGAGGCGCTGCTAGTAAGTATGTGTGTGTGTGTGTGTGTGTGTGTGTGTGTGTGTGTGTGTGTGTGTGTGTGTTGCATAGAGAGACTGCCGTCTGACCATGACCAGCATCTATGAGTCTACTGCCTCAACTATCCAATTATATGGGCATGTTGCTGGTAGGTCTCTTTGTTCCCATCTTGCTTAAAAGAAAAAAGCAAATGGCATTGCAATACAGACTGATCCTCTCAGAGGAAGAAGCAGATGGCCACTTGTTCAAAGACCACGTATGTATATATTCTCCCTTTGCCTGCTTTGCTTGGTCGAAACGAAGGCTCATTCATCGTCTCCTTGTATAATATACAGATGATCACATCCAAACTACAGACACAAGATCAAGAGGACGACTTGAAGCTGCCTACACCTGCTTTCATGAAAGAGGAAGGCCCTATTCCACACTTTGCAATCATCAAATTAGCATCGCTGGATATCATTGCTAGCTTTGCTCTGACAATTGGATTCTCAATCATTGGAAGTGGAATGTTTCAAGTGATTTACAGCAGTGTGGTGATTTGGTGTGCTATTTTCACTTGGTTTTTTATGGGCAGAGCGTTATCTCGAGTGCAATGGATGGCCATCATTGGCACAAGTCTTGGGCTAGGCATCAGTTCACTGGATAGCATCCGAGGATCGCCATTACAGGAAGATGCGTTTGCATCAGCACAGATGGATCAAGAAGGTACATGCCTCGCTTGCTGTGAGATGGAGGGGGAGGGGGATGTTTAAATTTACACTGTATTTTAGATACAACAAGAAATGTGCTGTTCAATGGAACCTTAATGACACTCGGTGGCACTCTCATATCAGGTACATACAGAAAAGTCAAATTATTTACGCTTGAACTGATGTGCTTTGTTTGTGTATCTGCTAGCGTGCATATATGTGTATGCTGATAACATTCTCTCTAAAGCTGATAGACAGCCCCTGCCCGCAAGAGTGTGCTGTTGGATGGGCGTCTATACATCACTCTTTACTTGGTTATGGATCTCTGTATACACGCTGCCTCAATTTAATGAAATCATTCATGTGGATGCTGAAACGTCGACTTGCACTGTACTCGCTATGTATTTTATAGTGACAATTGCAAATGCGTTACACTCTTGGAGCTATTACGAATTAATTGAACGCACGGGTAATGTAGCCACTGGTATTTTACAAGGATTGCGTGCCATTCTGGTTTATTCCATCAGTCATGCTTGGTACTGTCAAGAAGATTCAGCACAATGTAAGAGAAAGTGTGCCATTGAGAGGGTGTATGCAATGTCTGACACGATTGCATGGTGTTTAGGCTTTACGACATCCAAAGGATGTGGCTCGCTCATAGTCATCGGCTGTGTCTTGGTTTTCACGCTCGGCAAGAAATAGGTGCCATGGATTTTTCATTTTGTATAGTATAGATATAAAGATCATGTTAAAATGTGCAGCCGATTGGAGACTCTGGATGGTGAATTCAGTCGACTTTTTTAAGGCCAACCAATCATCCAATGTACTATGATGACCATGGAGGTTTTCCATATGCATTAGTTTTGCACGTTCGCAATAGAAATTCAGGCAAAAACAAGCTGAAAGAAAAACTCTTTCTTCAAGTCTACATGAAAATCAAAATCACCCAATCAAAGGGTCGTTCATGTCCCGAGACAAAAAGTTCTACTACGTTTGCGCTTAGGGACGTTTGTGTAGGGTAGGCGAGATTGGATGTCCTATTTAAATATTGTAGCCACCGAATTGTGGTTACAAATCGCTTGAATCATAAGTACCTCAAATGCATTGACTTTCCATGGAAATGTCTATGAAGCCATCTTTAAAAAGGTTTGCACGAAAGAAAAGAACCAAATGCTGATGGATCGTTTCAATGTGAAAATGAAATCTTCAATACATACTGCATGTTGCCTAATTTGAGTTGAGAACCTATGAAAATGCGGGGGGAGAGAAAGCATTTCTCCCCCAGGTTTTCTTGATTTATCCAAGGGGGTGGTGAGAGAAAGCCCACCAACGGGAACAATAAAAAACTTTAAATTCACATGTACCCCCCACCTTCATCTCTTTCTTTCCATCTTTTTCTTCTTTTTTCTATTTTGGCAAATCGTATCAATATGTGGATGGAAACAACAACTGAAAACGGTGTATTTGGTAGGTTTATACACATGGATGGTAAGCGTGCAGAGCCACTGACTGTACATGGACATTATAGATAAAAATCAAATTCAACCTCACAACACCCAGCAGCCATCTGAAGGATTCGATCGCTATTTGGAGGACGATGATACTGCCACAGACACTGGCAGGACCATGAGCAGTATTGCAGACAACAGCCATCTTCAGCATGACTCTCCTCCCTTTGTGGACCACATGGAAGAGACATCTACCTCATCATTTGAAAAGATCATGAAAGATCCTGAAAACAGCCGTGTCTCTCGCTATCAAAACACCTACTTTATGGACGGTGGAAACCGTTTTATCTCTGTAAGTCCTATGCACGACGCTCCCATATTTTCTCACATTATATTAACTTGCACAAAAATAGTTGCCAACACTGGGTAACACAAGTACCAAAGCAGCATCTCACATCTCGAGAATCTTTGAGGATTGGCTTCAAAACAAGCTCTATTATCAAAGCACAAATGATGGACTCGAGAGATTGCCCATCTTGGAAGATTCTGTCGAATTGCTCGCTGAGGATGTCGTCAACAAGCTCAAATCCAGAAACTCTGTTCGAGGCTTAACTGGCCTTTCTCGCATCATGATCAAAATCAGAACAGGCCACGTCTACACATATCATCAATTAGAGGATGGCCAGCCGCTCATTACTGCTGATATGGAAGATTTTTTTCAACAGTTTCCTTTATTTGTCGAGATCATTATCTACACCATGCCAAAAGACTCGGACCAATCCTGGGATGATGTTCAACTCTTGCTAGCTGTGGAGAATATCACTGTCAATCCATCCGATCCTTATCATATCAAGGAGGACATTCCATTAGTTGCTTGAGCCCATTTACTCTTAGAATTGCCACTTTCAATACCCCTCTTTTGCACGCACTCACTCACTCACCCACCTGCCCCTTGTTTTTTTTTTTTTTTCTAATTTGCATCTGTACATATAGTAATAAATTTTCTCTCTTTAATAATGTACTTTGTTAATCGGTATCAGAGTCGGTATAGGATACCAATGCAGTGGTAGTTTGCTTAGGAGCGTCATTGTGTCGTATCTTTTGTCTCTTTTCAACTGGTTTCACAACCTTCACGTCATTTAGTTTCATTGATCCCGTCTCGTTGGATGGCCTTGCTGTTGCCGTTGTCGTTGTAAATGGTTTGGATTGATAAAAAGGATCTGTCTTTAAACGTGTTCTTGCTGACGCTAAATGGCCCAAGGTGCCCACATGCTTCTTGTTGCTTTTTGAGGTGTTGAATAGTGGTGCTACTGCTGCATCCAATCTCTTTTCATCGAGCACATGTGTTGCGTTGTATTCAATTGATTTAGCTTCTACAATATCACTCGTTGTCTCGGGCAGTAGTTCGATCTGCAGTGAATGCTTATCTCGCAACTTTTCCGTCTCTTCCAATATAAGTTTGTCTTTCTTCTTTTCCTGTCTAAATTGTCTTCTCAGTTGCTGTGATTTGGTATATGGATCTGACCATTGCGTTTCATTCAATGTTTGTAGTTGTGTCAAGTGCGGTGTGGCCTCTTGGATGATCTTTTTGTCTTTGATACCATGCTCAAGGCGATACATGGGGTCGGATTCCAGCTGTTCCTTCTGTTCTTTATCTAGACAACAGTGTGAGTGCTTGTTATTTGCGCGGCATATTCACCAGAGACCCACCTTGCAACTGAATCACTTCAGTATCGTCTGCACTCCACTCCTCCATCTTTTTGCGAGCTCCACTCACAACGACGTAGGCTGTATTCTGTAGGCATTCACTCAGTGACAAGTTTTGATAGCTGCAGAACATGATTTTACCTTGGGATCTGTATGAATTTCGATCCAGTTATCACATAGGTGGCACTTCATTCGAAACTGCAATATAGGCGTACTGTAGTATTTACCAATTTGCTTCTTTTGGGCATTGTATCGAACACCTACATATGCATCTTGCTGAGCACAGTGCCAAGTCTTTCAGGGACACTAAACATACCTTGGCCGATATGATTTTCACATCCATTGCACCAAATATTGAATGGCAATTCGAATCTAAGCCGTCAGGTTAGAACATTTCCTGTCATGAGCGAAACCTTGAGTCAACTACCTGACTATAAGGATGCCCTCGTCGAGTTTTCTTGCTCGGTCTCCAAGAGCATGTTTGCCATAATGCGTATTGATAGAGCCCTAATTAAAGCTTAGCATGCATCCTGCTTGATGTTTATATTATAATCATACCTTTTCAGGTGTCCAATCTGGAGGGTAATACTTATTGAATGGTTGCATTGTTCAAGTTTGAAGGAAAAGGGAAAAAGAAAAGTATCGTGTGGCTTGTGGTGTTTGGGGTTGGTAAATTTGTAGTTTCATGCAATAGTAAAGTAGATGTACATTCAAGTTAAAAGCCCTGTGGTATGAGCTCCCACTCTAAAATATATGACTTTCTATTTCAGAGCTAGTGTGAATGCATGAATCAGAGCCGCTTCTGATAATGTTTATGAAAAGATAATACATAGCATCACTGGTTTACGCAGAGTATGAAATCTTGAATAAGGTGGGCAAATTTACAATCTCATGAGCTTCGCCTTTTGGAAGACCACCTTACAACGATTAAATCTGTTAGGTACACCATTGAGCATTAAAAGCAATGAGAAAGTATCTAGACTAAACTAAGGTACTTTTCTACTCTTAATCTCCCCTGTATTAGCTTCACAAATATCGGCTATCTCTACGGTGAAGGCATCCGTGGTTTTGCAGTCGTCAAAATTATTTAAACGCCGTATTTTTTAATGCTTCAGATTGGCCAGATCTGATTCATAATCGACTTGTTCGATCTATTGTGCCAGATTTGACTATGAGGATTGTCATGATCAACCCATACTTCCTAATGCATTTCTAGAGTACTTTTCAAGGTGTATCCGATGGTGCCAAATACAAGAGGTATTATGAATAAATAGAAGGAGAAAAAACGAAAAATATGAAATGACGTTTTTTGCGACTATGTCGAAATCTTACATATGAATGTCTTACAAACAAAGTTTCAGGGGTTGCTTTGGATCGATACAAACATTTAGAGTCAATATATGCCATAGCAAAAGTCTTTATTTTTGCGATCAAAAAAGCGATCGTTTGATTTTCGTCAAAATCCATGAGGTATCCCTCATGCTTTTTTGGTCAAATTTTGGCAATCCCAAAAAAGTTGAGAAAGTAAGTGCTAGACGAGAGCAATGGTTTGGTGCTATTCTGGCGGTCTAAAACGGCGTCCAGCTTGAGAAATCACTGTTCAAATGCATTCTAATTTCGCTGTGATTTGCAAATTTTTGAGCAGCAAGAGGTGATGTAGGTATGCTGTCTGTCCGTATATGAATGGATTCCATTGATATAAATGTGGAGCATTGTAAGAGAGCCTGATCCACAGCTACAAGCTGCTTACTGAAGGTTCTTACTATGCGATATCTAATACACATGCAAATGTAGCATATGCCGTAATAAGCATAACTGGGATTGACGAGAACTTATGCCATATTTTCACATGGCTACGTTGTTTCCCACCAAGGCTCAGTTGTGTGGTCTCTTTGTCACATTTAAATTCGTTTTCTTTACTTTTATCCATACGTTGCTACATTAAGAAGGTGAGAGTAGTACCATTTTGACAGTTGACATTTGCTCTATTTGATCCGCTTCATCCTATGCTTCCAGCTGTTTTCTATCCCCAATTATATTTATTTCACTATTGCAAAATGCTCATTTTCGACATTCACATGCAATGAGCTCTCTCTCCCCCCATTTTCTCATAGGCGTATTTCACATGAAAGATTTTAACACCAATGTTCAAGGTAAACAAAAAAAAAAAAAAAAAAAAAAAAAAAAGATCATTTGACTCTGAAACAGGTGTAACTGGAAGCTTAATTCGGTTGTCCTTCTCTACCTCTCCTTATTCTCGCTACCAGAAATTACAATGCTCTCGATTCACCTCTCCTTCTGTTTGCATTCATCATGAGCTGTTTATTTAATTGGATGATAAGCATAGCTTCTTCTTTATTTACATCGTCTAGAACCAGTTTTCAATGATTTTTGTACCACAAAGCATGCACATTCAAATCAAGAAACAAGTGTACACCTTGGAAGACAAAGCATCGATAAGAGCATCATATAAAAATTGATGTCTTAGTCTCCATGGAATAGAACAAAACAGATTGTTTTTCGAGCCAGTACAAGCAATCTTGTGCCAACTATCATGGGTTGCTGTCAATGATATCAATCAAGTGTTTGGGCCACCATACATCATCATTATGCCCACATTCACATGGTGGGTTGATTCGTCTTCAGTATCATTCCTGTAACCTGTTTGTAATTCTCACGCCAAAAGTATTCATCTCATCATATAGAGTCAACATATTTCATAGCATAAGTTTAGGAACTGCCCTCTTTTGGAAGGTCCCCGGATCATGCATAATCAAAACAGCTCATTTGTAGGCGAAATCGAACTAAAAAAAAAATTTTACATGTAAAAGAGTAAACAAAACGACATGGATTGAAGAGAGATGAACAAGTAAATGGTCGTTGCATAGTCAAAAAGAAGATATTCTACTATAAAGTATGCACATCATTGGAAAGCAAATTGTTTGGGGAATGCAATGGTGCTGTTTTCAGGATCCAAGGTGAGGTGAACATCGCGAAATTCATCAAAACAACACGAAACAATACGAAACTAACGCCGTGAGGTCTTTTGGTTCGAGACTTTCCACAGTGACATGGTATATAAAGAGGGAAACTTTTAGATGGATGAATACTTTACCTTTGTTCTTTTACTATTAGCGTGTAACACCCTTTCGTTTGCATGCTACTTTCTTGCTTTTACTTGTATCGCTCTCTCTTATGGCACCACTTTGTTTCTTTCAAGTCAGGTTTTTTTTTTTGTTAATGGAGGTGTTTTTTTGGGGTTGCGTGCTCTGTTGTGTGTGTTCAACCCATTGGCTTACTCGTAGGTCGCCTGAGCATGTAACAGTGTCTTGGGTTGGTAGTTGGGCCTCACGCTAGGTACGCTCTCCATTTGGGAACATTTAGACTCTCACTTTCTCGTAGTTGTTCCTGTGAGTATCATTGCCATTGTAAATGGCTTTGAGAAACCAAGAAGAGTCTTTTTTTTTATATATAAATGTGAATGAATAACGTAAATGATAATAAACTATGCTTTTAACCCTCTAAATGCCCTTCTTTTAAAGTCTTGTCATTATCAGTTTCATGTGCAATCTAAGCTACAATGATGCTATAAACATGATATACGTGGTTTTATTAATTAACTAATTAAAGGGAATGAAAAACGAACACTGTATCGAGCTACCTGTCTACGACAATGCTTACAGTGGCAACAATTGTCCTAGGCACAAGGTCATCGGTTTGATGTTCAATACTAAAGCCTGTTCATGCAATGCCATATAGTACTACAAGATAAACGCACCTTTAATATCCCCTATCTTTCTGTTCATGTGCAACTATATATACCTATCTCAAGAATTGATCTCTTCTTTGATTGACATCTGTGTTGGATTCGCCATTTTGATGTAAAGGTGGAGGATTCTCAAATTCAGGCTCTATTCTTTTCTTGATCATTGTAATCTGTTGCATGGTCTTGTCGAATTCTCTGTCTACAAGCTCACGTTGGACCTTGAGATTTTTTACCTCTCTTGATGACTCGAGTTTGTGTTGAAGAGCACGAAGTTTTTTGCTGTTGTGGTCCAGGATAGCTTTATCAGACTTGAGAGCGCCTTCCATGTGGTTGATAAACTTGGCAGCAGATGACACCATTAAACGTTGATCGTCTCTTTGCTGCGTTTTATGCAATACCACACCTGTTGTTGTTGTTGTTGCTTTTGATTTAACAGAAGGTATAGCCTCGTTGATTTCCTGCTTCAGCTGCTCCAGTGTGTTTGCAAGTGAAGCCAGCGAGCCTTGGTGCCTCTTGGTAGTGTCATGGAGCAATTGAATGTTGCCTTCAGAGTACTTGGTAACATCAGCCATCTTCTTCATTTGAAAAGCAGTGGTTGCTTCATAGCGGCTAAAGATTTCTGCCAACTTGTCTCGAGTGTCATGGCGAAATTCATCGTAAGCAAGCCACCGAGAGCGATTTTCAATATCCAGTTCCTTTTGCTTGATGCTAACAGCTGCAACGTCGTTGTGCAAAGATTCCATGCTCTTCTTGCAGTCCTTCCCCATGTTGATAAACTCTTTATGGAAGTCAGTAACTTGATCTCGAAGAATGGCGACTTGCAGATCCAGTGAAGCAGTGTCTCCATGTTGTTGTTGATTAGTGCCGCTGCTGCTGTTGATGTATCCAGGAGCATGAGGGTGGGCATTTGTGGTATCTTGTGGGTGCTTTGATTTCTTGATTTTGCTGGCCAGTTGATCAATTTTGGTCTGTATATCTTTCAGTTGATTGTTAAATGCAAGATGAAGAGAGTCAATCCTAGATTCCAGAGTAGACGTGCTTACAGTGGTAGTTGATGCGGACGAAGCACTAGTTGTTTCGTTGCTGTTACTCGCGCTGGCATCTGAAATATCATTGTTGCTGCTCTGATTTTGTCGAGGTTTAAGATTGTTTCTCAAAGTAAACACCATTCTGGCCAAGCTATCTCTTTTGTTCATATTCACCATACGATCATAGCCTCTACGGATGGACTTTCTGAACTTGGACCTTGTAGATGAGCTGCTAGGGACATTGACATGAATGGAGGCAGAGGTACTGGCACCAACCGAGACAGAAGAGCTACTAGTGCCAACCGAGGGGGGAGCTTGTTGAACAGCAGGAGCTTGGCCATACACCATTTTGTTCAATCTGTCCACATGGGCATTCAACTCTAGGACTTGCGCTTGTAACATGGAGTTTTTTCTTTTACTAGTGGCTGCTTGAGTGGTAGGCCTCTTGGTGAAGTTGAATGGTTGACACGCCTTCTTGATGCTGGCTGGAACATAGCCTCTGCTGGCAAGTTGAAGACGACTGACCTTTTCAATCAAGATGTTGTCGGTTGCAACCAAATTACGGATTTCGTTGTTCACTTTGCGGCTGTTTTCATTGAAGCTATCGTAAGCAGCGTTCATTTTGGCAGTGGTTTTGTCCAGCGCAGCATTGGCAACCCTGAGCTGATACTCATTTTGTCTCATGGCATCATGAACAAAAGCCATTTCTTGCTTGAATGTTTCTTCCGAGAGCCTCTTTTGATCTTCCAGAGTAACCAGCAGGTTCTTCTTGTCATTGTCAAGGCTCTCTAATCTCTTGTAGACATCCTCAAGGCTTTCAAAGTAGTTTTTCTGGTGCAGTCTTATCATCTCATGTATGGCTAATGCGATGCATGTCAGCATGTATACGACTATGTAGTGAGAAAATGAACTTACTATCATCGCGCTGCTTATTGACAACATAACAGATATGATCTACAGGCAAAATAGTCAGTGTTGTTATCAGATGCATGATTACAATAGAGCTTACAAAGCTGAGTGATGAGCAAAAGAGATGGAAAGATGGTAGACAAGATAAACTGCAGGTAACCAGGCACTCCAATGAGAGATAAAATTTGACCCATTTTAAATGCAATAATAGCTTGATGATTTGTTGAAACGAATGCCATCCATCAGGCATTATATATCTCTACATCTACAATGTGTCATTATACAAGTGCCATTATGGCACTGCACAATGAAATGCTGATCATGTGCCGCCCTTCATTGTGGGGGCATAGTGAATCGCCCTTCATGTTGCGCTGCAAGTGGCATGCATAAATGACTCTTTTTCTGATCCAAGCATGAGCATTGATTGGTGATGACAGACTGAAAATTACCTGAAAAAGCATTGATTCCCGTTTGTTCTCCTCTTTTTCTCATTCTCCATATTACTACACAATGGCCACTACAGACGTAAAAACCAAATCAAAGAAAGCAGCTGAGCATCCTTCTGTAAGTTGAGTTATTTTTGCAGTAAACAGCAGGATAGATACTAATGCCATTGTTGATTTACAGTATGAGAGCATGATTATTGGTAAGTCATCAGAAACTGCATGCCACACATATGGCCCATTCATTCACCACTACATACACATGTAGCTGCCATCTCTAATCTCAAGGAGCGCAAGGGTAGCTCTCGTCCTGCTATCAAGAAGTACGTTCTTGCCAACTTTAAGGTATCACCTGGTGCTCATTTTGATTCGCAAATCTCTGGAGCCATTCGACATGGCGCTGCAAAAGATGTCTTTTCTCTTCCAAAAGGTATGTGAATTAAGGAGCAAACAATGGGTTCAAGGAGGTTTAATTAATAACGGGGATATACAACTACAAAAAGGCTTGTCTGGTACAGTCAAGTTGGTGAAGCCTGTAAAAAAGACAACAGAAAAGACGCCTGAAAAGAAAAAGACATCTGCTCCAAAGAAATCCGCATCTGCTCCAAAGACACCTACAAAAAAAGTTGTCAAGAAGAAGGCTAATGCTGCCACCAATGCCACTGCCACTGCAAAAGCTTAATGCCATGGTATGAACATTTATAACACATTTATATGAAAATAAAAATTGAACATGAACTACCATACGGAATGAAGCACGCATTGAGTATCATTTGCCATGCTAGGCAACAGTACTACCAACGATATCTGGATTTAAAGTGAATAAAAGCGGTTGAGAGTGGGGAAAATGCGCTCTATTTCATTCCATCATGGACGAAACTGTATACACGGAAGCTCGCGATTTTCTAGACCCCATCTACAGCAACATCTCTTTACTGGATGATCGTCCGTTTATCACGCTCACATTTGCGCAAAGCTTGGATGGAAAGATAGCCAAGCAAGGACAACAAGTGCTGATCAGTGGAAAAGAAAGTATGGCCATGACGCATCGTTTGCGCACACTGCATGATGGCATCTTGGTAGGCATCGGTACTGCTTTGGTAGACAATCCTCAATTGAATGGTAGGGGGGCATAGACATAAGTAGCTTCGTTGAATATACTTAATGTTCTTTCTGCGTAGCTCGTTATTTATCAGCAGACACTGCAATTAAACAGCCTCAACCCATTGTACTGGATCCTTTCATGAAATTACCTACCAATTGTAAGCTGATCGGTAACTATCAGCATGGTGCAGGAGAGCAGCCTTGGTTGGTTGTTTCTGAAAAGGCTTTTGTGGAGGAGACTGACAAGAGAGTAGTGCTGGAAAAGGCAGGCGTAAAGTTCATCCCTGTCAAGGCATTAGAGAATGGTGAGTGACACACATCAGGGATTTGTGTGCGACTAACATGCTCTCTCACAAGGACGACTGCCTCTGAGCGAGGTGTTTAAAGCACTCAAGGCAAACGGTATCCATACCCTGATGATAGAAGGTGGCTCTCGTATCATACAATCATGCCTCACGGACGCATGGGACCAGCTTATTATTACAACTGCACCCATGTTCATCGGCTCTGACGGTGTGCCAGCCATCCAAGACAGCAACGATATGCCCAAGTTGAGCAATATCAAATATCAAGTCATGGGCAGAGATAGTGTTTTAGCAGCAACCAAATAAATAAGTATGTTTTTATTTCTTCAATACATTGACACTGCCATCCTGTTCACCAAAATAAGCCATGGCAGCCATCTGACAAAAGAGACCCACTTCATAGACACCGGTTAATAATTTAATCTCTTTTAACAAACTAGCAGGATCTTCCAATTGACCAAAATCAGCATCCACGACAAAATTACCGTTGTCTGTAACCACAGGACCTGCTTTTTTGACAGCCATACGCAAATTGACTTGTTTGGGCTTGATAGAGAGTTCATGCTCTATCTTCTTCATGACAGTTCGGTAGCATAATGGCACAACTTCAATAGGTACACCTTGGTGCCATTGTGTTCCTAAGCGGCTGGATTCTTTACGGAAATCTATAGTCAAGCGGGGAGCGTGAGTCATACATGTGTACCTCTTTGTCTGAGTGCATTTACCTGCAACAATGATGAACTTTTTAGCGGCTTCAGCAACAAGCTTCTCTTGAAATTGGCATGCACCGCCTCCTTTGATTGCGTTCAATTGATCATCCACTTCGTCAGCCCCATCAATAGTAACATCAATCACGTCATTTCTAGATGGTGTTAGTGTGATAAGGATAATGCCACTCTGCATGCTAATACATTACTGTTCAACGGATCCCAGTTTCAGTCCATTATCAAGGATTAATAATTTGCTCTGGAAGCTTGTTGGCACGTAGGTAATGTGCTTTAACTCGGGCTTTTGAAGGATTCTTTCAATGACATAGACAACAGTGGAACCAGAGCCAATACCAACGACTTGATTCTCGGGAGAAATGTGCTCATCGACAGCCTTGTAAGCAGCTAAACGCTTGCCATTTTCAATGAGTTCTTTAGACATGATAGAGATAGATAGATACGCGAAAGAAGAAGATGAAGCTGATATCAAAAATGTACCTTTTTAATGCAGCGTTCACTCCCATTTTTCTGCACTACGGTCACTGTTTGCTTATGTAAATCGACTCACTGAAACCAAAAGGATGGTCTAACTGATTATGTAAGAAATAAGGCTGTATGATAGTATTATTTATTAAAGCGATGCAATGTGTACAGAGTATATTATCAATAATAATCGTCCTCATCGTCGTCCTCATCCACAAAATCGTCTTCTTCGTCCGAGAAATGGCGATCTTTTCTAGATATTCTCGGCTCTTCTTCTGACTCGTACTTTTGCTCTTCCACATCATTGTCGTATTCATCATCAGACTCCTCGACAATTACCTTTTTCTTGCCACCGCCTCTTGATAATGCCAACGGCATGGAGGGTTCTGTTTAAATAGGACACATCAGTATCTTGGGTCAGTTGCAACTGTTGGCAAACTTACTCTGAATACGTGTTTTAAAGAAGTGTGCTAAACGAATAGCATTCTTGTGAGCAGGAGATGACTCAGCATTGTATTTCATGGCATTCTTCTTTATCAGCTCCACATCATCAATCAATCCCTACAGAACAGGCATGTCAATCAATTCGCCTCATTCTTTTAGACAGCAAACTACTCACATCTACCGTGCGATAAAATCCATTGTCCAATCTTTCCACTACAGTATCCAGACAAATGGGGTAAGCAACCACGGATAAATAAGGTGGATAGTCATAGTAGTTGACTTGATGCACGTATAGATAAAAGTCGTCCACATTAGCAAGCCATGCAATGGTATCCTTGGCTCGCTTGATCTGTGCTGGTGTCAGAGTGGACCCCACATCATAGCGTGTACGGAAATCTTCGCCTGTCGGCACCAGTTCCCATGGCGATAAATCCTCGGCGTTTGAAGAAGCATCATCCCAAAGGACATGATAAAAGGCCCAGGGACTAGGCAAATTGGCTTGCTTCCAGATTTGACCTTGGTTATTGACACTAGATACTGTACCGGTATATTGGCCCTCATCATAGATAGCATCCACTTTCTGGCCCACATCCAGTGTTAAAAAGACGTTCATGGAAGCCAAGAAGCGTTCCCAGAGCACAATGAATTCAGGGCTGTCATCTTCGTCGGTGTATTCAATAATGTGGTCTTGCTGCATGGACGACCACAGGGGTTCTTCTCGTCCTTGTATCACTTGCGGCAGGTTGTGGAGTTCCAGCATGTGCAATTTCAGCTTACAATAAGCAGGCGGCCCAACCAGCCAGCTGATGCTGTTGACGCGAGCAAACAACACAGGTTCGTGCTTGTCAATGACACCATGCTTTTCGTCAAACAAATGGCGCATTTGAGATTTCTTGAGGTATTGCTTGTGCCCTTCTGTCAGAATAGCCACGGTGTCTCCCACTTGAGGCAAGTATTTGGCCAAACTGCGCTCTGTGTTTGTGATCCATGGAATGGGCTCATGCTCTTTGATCTCGTCTTCTGTGAGTTCGCGGGGTCCATCACGAACCTTGGCTGAGCGCTTGTTGCTGGCTTTGGTAGTGGTAGACGGCGCTGCTGCTGCAGCAGGAGTAGGTTTGTGTGAATCGCTGGGTGTTGGTATGGCTGGTGTTTCGGGGAGATGAGCACGGCTTCTTGTAGCACGGCCCGTGGACGTCGACCTGGAGGCCATGTTTTGCGATAATCCACTACTGCTTGTGCCTCCTGCTTGGTGAGTGTATTGCTGGTATTGTCGCAGTTGATAGGGCGTTTCACTGAATTCATCATCGCTGGCATGTGTGGTGGTAGCAGCAGCAGAACGAAGCTTTCGCTTTCCTTTGCGATCTTCCGGCTCAGAGTGTTCTGGTCGACCTGATGTCGTAGATGTAGAAGCCATGGCACCCATGTCTATAGTGTGATTTGCTGCTCTATTCGAAGGTCCTGCTTCTGAATGATCGCTATCTTGGGCATCACTGGCATCATTGTCTACATTGACAAATTCGTCTTCTTCACTCTCGAAATCACTTTCAGCGTACGAGGGTCTCTCTGTCACTCTTCGTCTGGTTCTGGCACGCACAGGTTGATCTTCTTCCTCATCCGATGCATCACGGTTGCGCTTGCGAGTAGCACGAGATCCACCTCTGCCTCTGCCTCTACCTCGACCCATACCTCCTCCACGACCACGACCTCGTCTGCGGGCTGTGCTAGTATGTCGCAAGGTACTGCTGCTAGATGCTGTGGTGCGAGGTGTTCTAATAGGTATCTGTCCAGCGCGACTCCGAGTTACTGGCCCTTCTTCATCGTTCTCATCTTCACTGTTGAACACTATATCATTGTCTTGCGTGACGAATTCATCTGATCCTCGCTCATCATCACTGCTATTGGCACTGGATGCATAGCCCGCGTTTCCAGCTTCATCATCGTGGTAGTCTTCGTCTGCTGAATCATCTGGCAACAAGGCAGGCAGTACAGGGGGAGGAAATTGGAACTGAATGTTGCCTGCAGTCGCAAGATCACCTTCTTCGTCATCCTCGAATCGAACAAATTCACGTCTTCTCTTGGCAACTGTAGCACGGTCCAGCGCAGGCAAAGTGATACACTTCAGGGCACGAATCTCTTCTTCTTCCTGGTCATAACAAGCTGAGCGTTTGATGTCCTCCAACTCAAAGGTCTCTGGCGTAGTAGGAATGTTGCGACCATAGCCTAGTTTCTTTTGATTGGGGTAGGCTACGCCTTGAAGGTCAATGATGGGTGAGAATGGCATAGCGTAAGGTAATTGCTGTGTAGGTTCGTCCACAAAGGAGCCATCTGCAAAATGGCGCAGTGCTTGATAATCCGACATAAAATACTGTCCTCTCTCCCAACTTCTCACTTGTTCATAGTCCTTGTCCAGTCCACCGATACCAAACAGTGTACAGTGTCCTTCTTCATCTGTAATGGCGTACTTCATACCGTCTTTGGAGAACTTGCAGTCTGTGAATGTTCTTCCTCGGTGCTTGGTGCAGTTAATCACCTTTTTTTTTTGCACATCCCACAAGATCACATTGCCGTCGTAGCCAGCAGAGAGAATTGTGCTGGAGTCTAGAGGATGGTTGTCTAGAGCATAGATTTCGCCCTCATGTCCCTTTAATACGCACGCAATCTCGCCACTGGAAGCATAGTACACTCGTATTTCACCATAATTGGATGCTACAAAGCACCATCTATCATCTGCGCTCCATGCAATCATCGATACTTTGGGTGGATCTACGAATGCTGCTGGATTTTCAGGTACGTCTAGGTCCATGTCAGTGGGCTGCGTTGTATGGAGATTGTCGTCATTGTCAAATGAAGGCATGAGTGTTCCAAATTCCTCTGTAGGTTGTGATGTGGATGCGATATCGTTTAATGTGCTCTGGTTCATGGATGTGGATCTGCTCATAACGGTGGATGCTGGTGTCGAGGGTTTGACAGTGTCGGCATCAGCACTAACAGGCTCCTTTAAGCTCACTACGCATAGAAGCAATGAGTAAACACAGTATGATGCAGTTTAGTAATGTTCCGTCCTACATGTAATCGAGCTCCACTGCTTGTATTCCTTATCAAACCTCCAAATACGAGCTGTACCATCTTGACATCCACTGAGAATACGCTGACCATCATGGCTGTACGCCAGATCAGTGACACTGCCCATATGGCCCTCCAAAGTGCCAATAGGCACAACAGCTTGAGGCTGTAGATGACTGTTCTTGTCAGGGAACAGAGCGTTGGCTACCTTCCTTCTTCCTCTAGCACCAGATGCCGGCCTGTCCTGGCTTGACACATCCGCATGCCCACCACTGCCTTGAGATGCAACACCTTCATGTGTTGTCTGTACCTGCACCGTTGAAAATACATACACAAATCCATCATCACCAGCCACCGTGAATTTTGTGCCAGTGTAATCAAACGACGAACATCTCAATCTATCTTTTGCTCGAAATCGACAGCTGAATGTAATTGGGGAATCCACATCAAAGAACTGCAATGTGTCACGGTCCCATCTCCATAATCTCACAAATCCATCCTCGTTGGTAGCCATTAAATAGCGGGTCTCTGCTCTTGGCGAAGGCGAGAATTTGACAGTGGTGAAGGGCTTGATGGCGGTCGAGTTGGGTCGTAAACACATGATGGGCTTGTATTCATCCATGGTCCATACCCGCACGCACCCGTCTGTGGAAGCTGTGGCGATCAAGGTGTTTTCCTGGTTGATAGCGATATCTGTAATGACGTTTTGGTGGCCTCGAATGGTGTGGATCAAATAGCCTGTTCGAACGCACCACACTTTAACGAGGAAATCATCACTTCCAGTGAATAATCTGCGGTTGGTCTTGTCGAATACGACTGAATACACTGGATTACGGTGACCTGATATAGTTACACGCTACATAAAAAAAAAATTGCATGAATGTTGGAGAATTTCGTTTCTTGCATTTTGTCACTGAGTCCCTACTTCTCTGTAAAATGTAGATAAAGATGTAGGCATTTCATTCTTTTTCAACACTCTGGCTCCCATCTCTCTTGCAATCAGCATGCGATCTAATCAAAAACATGTAAATACTGCTTGCATGGTTGCGCGTTCCATCAGACTTACGAATAGAGAGCTTATCCAACTGCGATGGTGTCATTGTCAAGTAATTGCATCGTTCCACTTCTTCATGAGGCACAAAGGCGGATAGCATGGTCAGCAGTGATTTATCGCCATGTCGTAGAGCACTGACTCGAAGTATGGTTGGATCTCCTGTTTCTTTGAAATGGCTCAAGAATCGACCCAATAGGTCCAATAAATAGTTGTTGCTAATGTTGGGATACTCTCTCGACTGCACATAGAAGGTTAATTGAGCACACCAATACAGCACTCTTAGCTCAATGCAAACTTACAAGTCGATCCATCGTCATTGGCACTTGCTTGCCTTCGTATGTAATTGTATGTGGTAGCAGATCACGGTTTTGTTTCAATTCATCTTCAAGCACACGTGCGGCATCCTTGCAAGGACCTGCTGCCAAAAACTTGGCTATCAAGTAATACAACTAAAGTAGAGTGATAAGTAGGCTGATTTAATTTCTTTCAGTTGATTTGTACCTCTAAGCAAAGCAAACAAGCAAAGGTAAAAGAGGGCACGTGTTGGCGTTAGTTGACATCATTCTCCTCCTATAGCATTTGCACACTAGTCAATACTCACCTTGCTCCATTGTGAAAAGGGATGATTGAACGCAATGGAAAAGTTTGATCTTTTAATCGTTTTTGAAAATTAAGGATACAGAAAAAGAAAAAAAAAGAAGAGGACAAAAGCCGTGGATAACAAGTATCTCAAGACTGCAATACATACCCCGAACTATGGCGAGACCTTCTCTTCGCTACGGACCTTGATTCGAATGGGGGGGGGGGCGCACAGCTCGCGGCTGTACAGCCCTCTAATTATCAATGCCGAATCTGTCAAGAGAAGGAGATGTTGAGTCAGGAATGAAGCATTCCGTTTCGCATAGTGTCTGAAGAGGCCTATGTGAATTAACAAGACCTTTCAATAGATGCAGTGTTGTGAGTGCCTTGGCTCCAAGTCAAGCTCTTTCATCTGCTTAAAACAGACCCGTCAAATACTCAACTTGGTGCTATTTTTTTTTGACCATGGTAGTCTTTCATCATGGGATATTGGACAGAGCATTCTTTTTTTTTTTTTTTTTTTTTTTACACACAACGGCTTACCCCCCTCTATAATATCAGTAAATTCAAATTTTACATCATTTATATACACTGAAAATGGCATTTATAAACTTGAATTGGGCATTAGATGGCCAAAGAGTAAGACGGATTTATATAGTACTATTTCACATCCTCCCTCACACTTGGATTTACAATTTATCGCGCTCAAATTTCGCAATTATAATAGCATCTAACAGAGAATAACTGAAAGAACTAGAATAAGCTACATCATTGTTTAATTTGCAGCTTCTTCTTCATCAGTTTGATAGACATTGATTGTTTTCATGATGAAGGCATTATCGATTGGGCTGTTGGCCACCAGAATAACTTTAAACGCTGTTTACTTATTCGCCTTTTATTTGTTCATTTTTAAAAAAATGCGACTTGATTGATCTATTTTTCATGATTCGATTATATGAATTGTGCTCATCATCCCATACCCCTTTATGCTTTTCTAGAGTACTTTTCGTGGCGCATCTAACAGTGCTAATTTTCCAATTGTTTTGAAGAAACATATTGAGTTATATTAGAAAATATGAAATAGCTATTTTGGCCAAAAAGTCAAATTTCCATTCACAAATGAAGTTTTAGAGGTTGCTTTGGATCGATACAAACATTTAGAGTCGATGTATGCCATAGCAAAAGTCTTCATTTTTGCGATCAAAAAAGCGATCGTTTGATTTTCGTCAAAATCCCATGAGGTATCCCTCATGCTATTTTGGTCAAATTTTGGCAATCCCAAAAAAAGTTGAGCAAAGGTGTCAGAAAGTAAGTGCTAGACGAGAGCAATGGTTTGGTGCTATTCTGGCGGTCTAAAACGGCGTCTAGCTTGAGAAATTACTGCTCAAATGCATTCTAATTTCGCTGTGATTTGCATATTTTGAGCAGCAAGAGGTGATATAGGTATGCTGTCTGTCCGTATATGAATGGATCCCATCGATACAGATGTGGTGCATTGCAGAAAAGTCGCTTCCATAATTACAGTTTGCTTTTAAAGGTTTTTTACGTGGTGGTGGAAGGGCAAAAGACTGAAATATTAGTACACGTCCGCAAATGCAGCAGAGAAATGCTTTTTTCACAAGATTCGAGGTGTAAATAATGTAATGCTTTCCAGGGACACGAGCACTGAACATTGCATTGCATCGGGTTATAAATGCCCTGATATTCAATTACATGGAAGAGGCTCATGATTTATTACAAGATAACACCTACTAGCATGTATCCCATTGTGCATGCTAATGGACTATAAACTAAGCTTTTCTCCTGTATCACCTCAATAGAGAGATAATACTGCTATAATAGTTTGGTTTCCAGGGAAAATATTCATCCTATTTGTATAACTCTACTCTGATTAGAAGCAGCAATATATGCATCTGTTGTGTTCATGTTTCGAAGTGGTAGCACAAATCAAAAATATCTGTTCTAATCAGATCTTTTTCCAAAATAATCCTTTGAATTGATTTTCGAGGAAATCAGCAGATATTGAGTAGAAGAGGGGCTAAACGTATTCTCTTTGAACACATGAAAATCGTTAAATAGATCCAAATGGAGCCGGCACTTCTACTGATGCTTACTAATTGGAGCTTTTGAATGCCTCTTTGTATGCAACTTTTCATTCGGCACTTCCGACACAGCTGCAGGGACGCAAAAGTCAAACCTAGATCTCATCTTTGAATGTACATCGAATATATTTATCATAACAAATGCTTGTAAATAGGCACTCGCCATCATTAATTAATTAGTCATTGTATGATGAAAAATTGAGATTTTATATATAGCTTTAGGTTTGAAGTGTAAATTTGGACTATCAACAGAATCTGATAAGATTTACAATGAGTCAAGCCAGTGACATATTTTATTAGATGTTTTAATTTGGAGTACAAATATAATACATGCTATTATATTTTTGGAAAGTAAGATGACATTGAATGATATGGTTAAAAGAAGAAAAGTGCATATAAGTAAGATTAGATTATTGAAAGAAGATTAATAAATAAATAACATTGAAAGGGGTTGTAGTAATTCAAGAAGGGCCGTTTTTGATTAGGGGGGATAGAGGAGGAAAGGTGAGTGGAATATACAATTTTAGTTTGGAATATAAGTAGGATTATTCTCCTTGTTGAACAGCTGCTGCTGCTTCTTTTCTTTACGCTCGATAATGAAGCGATGCACATAGACAATTGCTGACAAGAGCATGATCAGGCAGTGACCAATACCCAAAAGCAAGAAGGGTGCACCCTTCATCCAGTCGTCAAACAGAACACCACCAACCTTGGATACGATAATGATACCAAGAGCACCAATAAAGGAGTATGTCGCAGAGATGGCAGCATGTTCTTCTCTCTTAATATAGTTGCCAGCCACCATAGCCATACCAGAGATGATCATACCATATTGGCCACAAGCAATCAAGATGACAAAACCAAGAGATAGCTTAGATGTGGGATCAATCGAAAAGGAGAATGGAATGCAGCCACATGCACCGACAACACCAGCAATAAAGACGGCCCATTCCTTGGGAATATATTCGGAAGCAAGCGAGAAAAATGGAGTAGCACATAAGGCAACTAACTGGGAATAACCGGAGAGAGAAGATGAAGAAGCCATAGCATAAAGACAAGTTTTGCCGGCTACACATTTACCGCTTTCTACATAATATTGAGCAACCCATAGGGACAAGAAGTTGGTGATAATGATTTCATCTGCACGAGCAAAGAAACTGGAGGCATAGCCCAATGCAATGCGAGGCTCTTTAACTGCTTGCAAACCTTTGTAGAGCTTCAAAACCCAGCCCTTGATATGATTTACTGGAGGACGGGTACACGCATCTTTAGGCATGCAAAAGAAGAGGATAATTGCAAGAGCCATTGAAGAGCCACCGATGGCACTGTGAGAATACTTCAATCCCGTGTTGTTGCCAGGATATCTTATGGACAGATAGGCTGGCACCATGAACAAACATAGAGCTGCAAAAGTAGCACCGAGACCAGAGGCAATACCGATACAACCAGAGACAAGACCTCCTTTACCATAGGCAACCTCCATCATCATGGCGACCATCATTGACGTTGAGCCAGCAGAACCAATGGAGAAGACCAACTTGATCAAAAGCATGTCAGGATAGACATTGTGAACATGAGGATAAGCAACGATGCACATACCCATCAAAAAGATGGACATGGCCATGACGCCACGACGACCAATACGGTCTGAAGCCATAGACCAAATAACGACGCCAATCAGAGACATGATTTCAGAGTAGAGAGACAGAGAACCGGTAATGTCGCCAGTGTCAGTAGTAATGCCCAAAACACCCATGATGATTTGATTCTGGGTACCAGCAATATAAACGATCAAGGATAAGGAGACAAACACAGCAACGATAAAGGCAAAGAACTGCAGTGGGTGTACGTGGCTTTGTAGAGGAATCCACCACATGAATTTACGAGGAGGCTTTTCATCAGCTAGATTCAATGAATTATCAACGGTAACAACGCTAGTTTGTGAAATTTCAGTTTTCGCTTCATTCAAATCATATTGGTATGATTGATGTTGCTGATGTTGCTGATGCAGCTGCTGTAAATGTGTTTCCGGAGTCATCCTTTGAATAATGTTGTAGAAAGAAGATGACAGAAATTATAAATCGTGAAGGCTCCTTTTTATATAACGTTGAGATATTCTGAAAAAGAAAAGAAAAAGAACAAGACCAACAAGCACGAAATAACAGGACAAAAGATATAGAAGCGCAAAGAGAAAATCTCACCGTTCTACCGAAGTTTTATGTAGATTCCATTATCAGATGTAAAACAGCATCTGTATAGGGCCCGCTATTATAAGGGACCCCCACGTTTGAATCAGCATCTTATCAGATGGTAAACTCATATTTGGACCACGATAGAGGAAGTTTCTCATTCTTCTCCATTTCAAGTGGGAAATCAAACTCGTGTCAGTCTATTTTTCTTTTTTGTAACTTTGAATATAGAAACGCGGAGATGTCTGTGCATTCTTGAGATGCTAATGTTATAATAGTTGACAGCTTTCATTTAAAGGAAGCTCAATAATCAGATTAGCTTATATGCGCGTCTTTCATTCTGTAACGACATGGCAGTAGATTGGAACAAAATGGATTAATGTTTATTCAAAAAACTGCATTTGTTTTATAGTTTCTTTGTGTCATCATTGGAAAAATCTGATAAAGCTTTTGTAGCACAGAACTTGTACTGTAACGCTATTTTAAAGAGAAAGCGCGGTGGCAACCGTTGCCCGTAATTGTCCGCCCTGAATCGAATCATCTCGATCCATCAAATTCCTCTCTTGTACTTTACATTCAAGATCCTCCATCTTGCATACTATATATTTCAGACGTTCTCACACTTGCAGAGCTGTGCTTTACAAAATGTTTTTAATTGGCATGACATGAGGTTTTTTTCCAATTTCAACAGGGGGCTAGAAGGGATCTTCATTCAGTTAAATAGAATCTCAATTTCTTGATCTCTTTCATTCTTTTTTTATATCTTTAAAATCACAAATCTATCAACTCAAGATGCGTTCTACCATTGCCATTACTCTTGCTGCTGCTGCTGCCGTTGCTGTATCTGCTCAAAACTGTAATCCCTCTTACAATGTTCCTGGATCCACTGACTGTTTTACCAATTGTAACGTCGTAAGTATTCATTGCCATTGTGTGGTTAATCTCATGGTATATTGACTTTTTGCTTGATGTGTGAAGAAAGCTGGCCAGGAGTTTGTCTCTGGTTGGACTATGGATTCTGGCTCTCCCAAGTTTCTTGATTCCCTTAAGTTAATGTGTACCAAGGGCACTGCTGACTACATGTCTTTCATGACAAAGGCCGGTACTTGTATGGCTGCTTGCGCTGGTGATAACCCAGAGCTTTTCAATACTGAATTCCAAGGCGCTTGTGCATGGTATGCTCAACACAGCGGTGATACCTGCGCTGCTGGAACCACTGCTGCTCAAACAACTACTGTTGCTCAAACAACTGCTGCCACTACAAACACTGTCGCTCAAACTACTACTGTTGCTCAAAGTACCGCTGCATCAGTAACCTCGGCTGTCAGCTCTGGCTCTTCTGCCGCCTTACCTGTTGCCACTGCACTCTCATCTGGTGTTCCTCTCGCCTCTAATGCTTCGTCTATCATTAGCGCTTCCGCTTCTGCTATCTCTACCAATGCCACTGTTCCAGCTGCTGCATCAAACGCCTCTGTACCTGCCACACAAGCTAATAGCGCTGCTTCGAGATTGCAACTTGGTAGCTATGCCATTGCTTTGGTTGCCTGTGCTGGTTATTTAGCTCTCTGAACCATCTTTTAAACTTGAATCTATGGGAAACTTCCCATCTATTTATTTCTCTTGCAGACAAAAATCTCTAAAAAATCCTATATCAACTACATTATCTCCATATTCGCTACAGTAATTTATTTTCATATTAATCTTCTTTTAACTTCCTTTATCTTTATAACAATCACGCCTTATTTATTTACAACATCACAGTTACAATAAAAACTTAACTGTAATGGCTTTATCTTGTGCATAAAGCCATTGTCAAAGATTCAGGAACTGAACACTCAAATTTCTCTTCATGAACCATCATTAGTCTAGACTTTTCAGTTAGTGCACATAACACATCACACAACCACAAACATCGCCGACGATCTCAGATTGCCTTTTCCGCTAGCTGCCATAATGCCTTTTTTGAATTTTCAATAGCTATTATGCCCTTCTATTAAAATCTGATGCTTAATTTAAAAGACCTGTTTCTTTTAAACAGATCAGTTTAAAGAGGGTTAATTGATCTATTATTTTTTGCATTAAGCAGAGTAGCTATATTGATTTCTCTTGATATACTTAATACATTCAAAAAATTATACTCTATATCTGGAATCAGAAGTACTTGCAATTATGTTAACATTTGTCTTGACTGTATTTGGTTGTACAAAGTATCAGAATTGACCTTACAAAATTCAATGCCAAATGCTGTTTGCGCCACTTCCATGACACTGAAACACAATAAGGGTAGGATTAACTTTCACTTTGCAAATTTATAAGATGATGGCGAGACAATTCCAAATAGCAAGAGCATTTTATAATATGCCTTGTTACAACATTGACATATTAAATACCATTATACATCATGTGCGGGCCATTGGTAATGTGTCGTGGTCAAGCAATGTTCCTCGTACAATTCAGTTAAATGAATGCAGGTAATGGCTTTTAAATTATTTCAAAATGTGATAGTCTATCTTCTAAATTCCACGCCTAATTGTAAAAGAATAAAAGCTGCAATGTTATGCTAGTGAACGCAGTGCTGATGTTATAAATTTAATTAGACTGAACGCCACCATATTTTGCTGCTGAATAAAATGCATTTGATGGCAATTCACTACATAATTCATACTCAATCAAGTTGTCTTCTTTAATATAAATAATGAGTATATTTTGCTATTGTAGGTTTGCTGCTGAGAAATAGATCAAACATATGATTTTTGAAATAAGCCAATTGTCAGTAGTGAGTTTCATATAGAAACGTGTTAATTACGAGTAATGCATTGATGGATAAGGGATTACACAATGTTGTATTGAAAACCGCTTGCTTATATTTGCTGTAGTGTGGCAAAAGGTTTAGCACTGTGCTAGACGCATCTTACGAGAAAGGGGGTACAGTTATTCCTAGCCCTATATTGATGATAGAGACTTTCTATTAGGACCATTATATACCCACTTTGACGAGTTGCTAAACATACAAAGGAATTTCCAGTCGCTACACTGATTGTCAAACAATTAAGTGAGGAAGGTGTATAGTACCAGTATAATAAAAAAGATCAGTGTTTGATTGCTATTCTTTGCTCAGCTGTCAACTCAATCTGCTTTTCCTATTAATTGAAATTAATTTTCCTTTGTTTGTTCTACAAAACGAGACCACGTTTCAGAACATACTACAATGCTTCCTTTCATAAGTCGATTTTCAACCAGCAAATTGGAGTTTACAGTGGCGAAAACATGCCTGTCTTTGATTAAAGCACAGATACATCCATGTGGTGCTCAAACCTACAAAGTAAATCTAAGGCGTGAATTGACTAATGTTGGCGCTCAAAAGAAATGTTATATGAGCCAATGTAGCAAGCATCCGTAGTCAATGATGTCGACATGCAAGGATAAGTCTATAGCACTATCCTTGTTCGTGGTGCAACCTATAGCCTATAACTTATGTAGTAGTCAAATCTCATAGTAGTACTAGAAGCGTATCTAAAGTTCATATCCTCTTCTAGTATAAATCCGAATCATACATCTAATCCAGTTCACACATAGCTAATATCTAAACATAGTAACTGGATGAACTATAAATATGCAGATCAGAGTGGATGTATTCCCCAATGACTTTCCTCACATAGTGAATTTATTAAAGAATATCCCTCGCATAAAACTGTGTGATGAATAATTGCATCTAATCTTACTTTTGAATAAAGAAAAACTTGAATTGTATCTATTCTGATAGGCTTTTTATTACAAAAACAAATTTCTAATACATGACAGATTAATAGGAAATCAACCGGTTGTAACCCATTGTTGTTTCAATCCCTGAGCCAATCATATTGCTTGAAAACTCCGCTGACCTAAAAAAAATTTGCGAGGGTTTCCCCCTGTTTTGATGTGAGGCAAAATTTTAAGCGCCGCTATAATAGCAATATAGCCGCTGCTATCATCAAACTTCCCTCAGGTGCTAGAGCATGCCTTACTTACACCACCTAGCTTTAGATTCTGGCGTTGAGACTCTCAATCATCACTAAAGTAAGTAGTGATAACCAAGCGGAGACAGCCTATCTACCTCCTAGCCTCGGATAGAGTCTTGTTGAGCTTCAGGGATAGGCACATCCACACAACGTAAAAAAGGTATGTTTCAAAGAAACATAAAAATAATAAAGGAAAGAATAAAAGAACATACTACTATAGGAGTATAGTAGTACATGGGCAAAAAATGGATACTCACACAAAGTGATTCAAAGAAAAATATAACAAGTATAACAAGTACTGTGGAATTTGAGGCTTGATAGACTAAAATTCACGGAAAAAAAAGAATAAAAAAAACAGTAATGTCAACTTGATAAAGGTATGTTTTATTATCAAACTGACAGGTGTAAAGTAAACTGAAGTCTCTCTACTGGCCAGGTAGATGATCCTTCTTATATACTATAACAATGGATAAAAGTTCTATTAATTAGATTAACAAATAAGTCAACTCAGATCAACTAATGTCTAATCATGCTAAAAGACAACTCCAGCAAGCTAATCATGATTTAGCTCTGTCTGGATGAATAATTAGACTCTCATCCGAAGTACCCTGATCTATCCTTTCTATAAGGATAATTAATATCGATCTAGTAGCATGTATCCGATAGGTACAGTCTTCTTAGTCTATATTAATAGTACATATCTGAGTGTATATCGCTAAGCATACATCTTTAGCATGTATCTGGATATATGGCATGTCTATAGCATATCGTATGCATGTCTATAGCATGTCTCATATATAGTACAAGTCTGTAGTACATAAAGTATCTGTAGCTAGTATCACGGATATAAGCATGTGTCTTATAGCGTGAATCATAAAGTGCACATCTGAAGCAACAAGCTCATATTGCATTGATCTTGGTGCCTATCCAGATATGGTAAACATCCGTAGTCAATGTCGGAATACAAGTATAAGTCTATAGTGCCATCCATGTCCGTGGTGCCATCTATAGCCTATATCTTATATAGTATGAATCTTATAGTACTAGCGTATCTGAAGTCCATATCTTCTCATGATCATAGTATAAATCGATATCGTACATCTAATCCAGTGTACATACAGTTTATATCTAAATCTGGTAACTGGATGAACTGTCGGAATGCAGATCATAGTGGATGTATTCCACAAGTACAACATCAGAGATGCTCAAAAGAGCTCGTTGTTGCAACAAAATTGCATACATGAGCAAAGTGCATGGTAATAGTCGAATGTAAAGTAACGCAAACACACAAAACTGCAAAAGCAATGGTGGTATAAGTTTGCACTGCAACATAATGACTAACGTTGTCTCATGTGAAGCCACAGAGGCAACGTAACCAGCGAAAGAAGAAGAAAGCGCAACAAAGTAAAAATCATGATAAAATGCATTATCACGAGAAAGGAAGCAATAATACAAACGTTCAAAGAAGTTTTATATCATTCCGACCAGAAGAAAGAAGATACTTACCACTTACCACCACCACAGATAGACCAGAGGATACGCAATCACCAGATATAGACCAGAGAAAAAGCATGCACCAGACACAGTACACCAGGAAAAGACCATATTAGCAACAGCAGCAGCAACACCAGCACCATGGAAAAACCAGAGAACAAACGACACCAGAGACCAGACAAAGACCAAACAACAAGCTGTTTAGAATAACAAAATATAGACAGAGTAAATACAATTAGAACTGAATATATTTATTATGTTATTCCAAGATTGAATAGGGATCAAAACTAGTGTAGATATCAAAGGTATTTATAGTTATTTGACAGTGCCGCAGCAATAGGACCTTGATCTTGAATGCGGGATAATTGTATAAGCCTTGAACCAGTAACGAGGATGTGCTGCATCAGAACTCATGAACCACCAGTCAAGGATAAACAACAAAGATGATCCAGGATAGAATGTTCTTCCTAATAGCTTTGACGGAAGAACATTTGTCGGAATTGAAACCCACTTCCAGGGACGAAAGACCATAGGCTACCACTCTCTAGGAACCAGGATATAGATTAGCCATTTGATGGCACCACTCATGTTCCTTCGTGCTGCTTGAATAAAGACCTCTCACTTCTACTATGCATCTCAGCTCATTCTCAGATCCTCTTATGTAATAAACGACGCTTAATACATTTGCCTCTCAGAGATGATCTATATCCTCAACACAAGCAACACCAGCAGAGACCAGACAAAGACCAAGAAGCAGACAGCAGAGACAGCAGAAAAGGAATGGCAGCAGCACCCACGTCAAACAGGCAAAAAAAATATCAAAACCTAACAAACAAATTCAGTTATGTTGTGCCAGAAGGGCTACAACTGTCTATAAAGATTAAGGTATTCTTGATGGGTAGATATGTCTGTGTTGTGCAACAACATGGACAAGCTATGATAAGTGAAGTGCATCTCAGCTATCTAAATACTGAGGTTCAACAGATGTGATAAGCGTTGTACAAGATAAATTGCTACTTTGGCATTCAGAACTTAGTATAAATAGAATAACTCTTGTCTTCATCAATAAATCTTTAG